CTGTTCTAGCGATGGCTGGATATAATAATCTATTGGTAGAACGTCTGTCCACACCGTGTAGCACTCGTACAATATATTATACATTCCCTAGATCCTTGCAACCCCCCCTCGCATGCGATCCCCGCCAGCCCCTAGCAGCCAATCTACTCCCCACTTTCTCTCCCGCTGCTTGACTGGAATAGCCTACCGGTATCACATAAAATCACTCGGAAATTGTTCGTATATAGCTTGGAAACTTACCAGAACTACTGTAACGAGACGACCGAGAGAGAGTGGATTCCGTCTTCCATTGAAGCAAAAAGCCGGAATGGCCCCCCTGCTGTGCGTCCCGCTGCTATAGGGAGGTGGTTGGGAAGTACTAGGACCAGAGATGCGCAGTGTCCATGCGTTGAGCGCGGACGGTGTACTCGGGGTTTGCGTGACCGGAGTGGGAGGGAAAGGCTCGGAGTGGCGACATGTGATTCACAGATTGCGTGTCAGTCAGGAGCGGTAGTCTGCTCGAGCACGTGTTCGTTGCGCAAGAGGGGGGATACTGGGGGGGTAATGGTGTTCCGGGGTCCTGGAGGAATTTAATGGATTCATCGTCAGACGGGGAGGATGTTGGGTCTATTGTAAGTGAGTGTGATGGGGGAGAGAAGGGTTAGGGTTTGTGATATGGCGTTGCTTTCTATTGTGGAGTGTCCGTGTCAGGAGATTGTGGAGAGAGGATTTGGTGCAGTAATTATTGGTTGACCGACTAGACGTCAAGATGAGGTGGGAAAAAATCTAAAACCGGGAGCCAGGAAAAAGCAAGGAATAATCCGAAGGAACAAAAAAAAAAAGCGAGAAAACAGGAAACAGAGAAGAGAGAAGAAAGTTAGGATTGAAGACTTTAGGATACAGCCCCATCCTATTTTGCTTGACTAGGAAGGGGCTACAATAGCAGAGATCGGAAAGAGAGGAAGAGGTGATGAGGATAACAGAGGGCAAAAAAAAAAAAAAAGAAGAAAGACTCCTAAAAGATACGAAATTCCTAGCCCTCGGGCTTTTATCCTTCCTTAGGCGCCTCCATCTCAACAATCTCCCTATCATGCTCGATGTGCTCAAGTACTCGCGAACTTGAGCGAGCTGGTTTGCGTTACACGTTCTGGAGCCTCTCAATACGGACTTGACCAATTCAGGACGAATCTAGTGAGTATCCGGCAGGTAGTCCTCCGTGGGATGCCCCAATCTTTGCGGGAACCGCTTCCCCGACTTCTCTGGCTGGTTGGGCAAATTTTCAAGAAGCGTTGTAATATCGCTCCTCATATGGGGGCTTGATGAACTTACTAATTAGTGAAAATGCAATCGAGTAGGACCTTGATAGTGCTCGGATCATCCTGCGACGAGATTTCGGCCGGGAGTGATTCCATGGATTTTCGATGTGAACCCGGTTCTTAGGTAATCGGATATGGCCGTTGCTGTACGGGTAATCAATGGCTTTATCCCAAGCGAACCTGTTTCTTTCCAAAGCACCGGATCTCGGCTCCATGAGATTTCCACAAATCTTGGGTCCACGGCTTGTGAGCTTGCTACAAACTTATTCTGCCTCTAGAATCTCTCTCTCTCTGCCCACTCCTTAATTGTGACAGGCCCAAAGATGGGGCAGCTTCTTGAACTGGTGAAAAGCGTTCTTCGGGGGAAGGGGGATTCTATATAGACACGCTAATCATGCATTTCTCGCTAGTTCCGGCATAAATTGTTAAATATGATACGCGAGTTATGCCCGATTTGGTAATCCAGAATTGCTGGGCTATTTTGGTCCCTCAATCGGTTGAGCGCACTCGATATAGGTCAGTCCTGAGACATTCTCTCCATCAGGAATTCTCCCCAAACATATGACTTGGCCAACTCTGGCCGCAGGAATCTTGAGCTCGCTTGGTCTCGGAACGCTGCTAAAATGCAAAGATCTCAGTTTACGGCCAGGTTGCGGTGTTCAAACGCGTTTCTGTTATCATTATAAACAATCTCGATAAACTTTTGGAGCTCCCCGGTATTCTCGGCCGCGAGCTGGGCAAACCTCGTTGATCGGGAAATCTGGGTAGGACGGGTGGGGAACACCCAATGCCTTTGGTTCATCCCAAGATTTGGATGGTGCATGTCGTCTCAAAATGGTGGTTTGTTCTGTCATTTCTGTCAGGCTTAGGCTACCCTTAGGTCTGCTGCGGGCAACCAGTCCTGACTAGTACTTGTCGTAAGCTGTCAGATGGGAAGGCGGGGTAGAGCCCACCGAGTGGGAAGGCTCTATTTGTGGGCAATAGCAAGGTGCGGAAAGTTTTCTAATTCAAGGGAGCTTGTGCAGAACGCTAAGCTGGTGCGGTATGCATCGCCTAGAGTTGTCGCTCGTCTCACTTTTTTCCCCCAGGTTCAATGTATGGTGCTGGGTTTACTATGAACCTTCTTGCAACAGGTGCTCCAGAAATTCAACTCCCTTTCACTTCCGAGTCGTCAAACTATCCAATTGATCGACTGCATATTTGGTGTATTTCTTCTTATGAAGATAATGTTCTATAAAGTCCACTATCCATCCTAAAAACCTCGGGCCTGCTTCTGGATTTTCGTCTCTTACGGGTATAACCCTCTGGATATCCTGGACTCCTTCCACATAAAAGTGCGGAAGCTGAGTGGAGGTGCATTGCCATAGCGGTGGGGAACGCAGTCCTCTCATTGCGGGAGGTATGGTTATACTGGAGGATGTTTGGCAGGACCTTTAGCTAAAAGATAATGGGTTTTATAAGCGCTGAACATTCAATTCACTGATTGATAGATATTGGCAATATATACCATGTTCAGGGAAGTGCCCTGGATCTGATGGCGCTAGAAACCTAGCAACTCTCTTGATATGCGTTCGCCCCGTCCGTGTGGACCAGCAGTCGAGATCCGAATGCATCCACCAGGGCTAAAAATCAATTCAAGAGTTTATGGAACCGGCGGTAACTTAGTCGAAGCAAGGAGGGCAAAGGAGAATGTTGCGTATATAGGGCATACAGTATACGGGGCGAGAATGATACCGAATCTCATGTCCTCCATTGAGCTCTGCTTAATATCCGTATAGTTAGTTCCCTTAGTTGGTTTCGGTGTAGGCCTTGGGTAAACTCGGCTTGTGTTGATTTGGTCGGGTAAAGCACGAGAATACGCGAGTAAAGTATTTATTCACCTTGCATGGTATAGAGAATACCTTCCCTAAATCCTTATAACCCCCCTCATTTAACTCCCGCTAGCCCCCAGCAACCGATCTACCCTCCTTCTCCCGCTACTCTAAGACACCGAGCATGCGTGAATCATAAAGTATCACTCGAGGTTCTTCGCAGGATTAGCCCTCCGAGGGCTGATCACTCTGTCCATTTGGGCGCAGGTCCAGAATTGCGCACCTACAGTGCATCTGGATAATAGCGGTGGGGTAGGAGGTTACCAATGTCCGAGACGGGTAGTTCCTGTGAGTCGGGTGTGGTATCAGGAGTGGCGAAGGAGGGGTTTCTGAGTGGAGAATTCTGTTCATGGTTGGCGTGTCAATTGGGGGTAGAGGGATTCGATGCGCCGGGGGGGTAGGTAATTCTGGGGTATGGCAGTGTTTCAGAGTCCCAAGGGAATTGAGTGGATCAATGATAAGACGGAGCCGATACTAATTCTGTACTGTGCGCCAGTGGGACGGGGGAGAGAAGGGTTAGAGTTGGGGTTTGCCACGTTATGGCGTGCTTTTTTTTTATTGTGGAGAGGACTTGGTGTGGCAATTATGGTCGAATTAGAGGGCTGGATAGACTTGACAATAAGATCAGGGATCAAAAAACAGAAAAATGGGAAAGGGACAAAAAAGGAGGAAAGGAAGAGTTGCAGGTGGAGAAATCATGATACGGCTATATGTCGTTTCGCTTAACTACGAAGGGCTGGGGTATAGATCGGGAAGGGGAGATGATATGATAGTAATAGAAGGAGGGGAGAAGAAAAAACCCATAAAGATACCAAATTTCTTGCCCTGGAACTTTTATTTCTCATCAGCCGCCTCCATCTCAACAATCTCCCTGAAATCCTCGATATACTCCTCACAAACTTGAGCGAGCTGTTCTGCGTTGCACGTCCTAGAACTGCTTAATATGGACTTGGCCGTCTCAGGCCGAATCCAGTAGGGATCCGACAAGTAATGCTCCATGGAATGCTTGAAGCTTTGCAGGAGCCACTTATCCGACTTTTCTAGTTGGTCGAGTAAGTTTTCAAGTTGCCTTGTGACGTCTTCCTCATGCGGGGGTTTGATGAACTTGTTAGTGTAAATGTAATCGAGTAGGACCTTGATTGTGTTCGGATCATCCTGCAGCAGGACTTCGGTAGTGGACGATTCCTTGAATTGAGAGGAGAACATTCCTCTCCAGTAATTGGATACGGAAGCAAGAACAACTTTGTGTGCCTTGAAAGTCTGGAGGGGTGAAATTATTGTGACATCACAGAGTAGTCCCTGGTTGCGGAGATCAAGGAGGCCTTGGAGGATTGGGGACTGTATTCTAGGGGGCTGGGGGATTCGCCGTTTGCGGAGTCTTAATATGTGCACTTTGGCATGCTCCAAGAGGTTGTGGAAGCGGCCTAAGAAAGAGCAGACACGCCTGATTTCCCCAGAATCGTATTCTATATTTAGGCAAAGATTCCTAGCACACGACCAGGAATTTCGGAAGGTTTCTAGTGCCATCCCCGATCGGTCTTCATACTCGATATTGAGCCAGATTAGCGCATTTTCTTGAATGGAGTAGGTGGGTATCTTTTCCTCAAGGTATTCGTAGGCCATCTTGATTTCGGAGATACGTGTTGGAAGCTCATCTTCTGTAATTTCCTCGCGGTGTGATGCAAGGAATTTTAGATGCCCTATCACTGTCGTTGGTGTAATCATTGGTTTTATCGACGTTATCATCGTCAAAGCGAGCGGACCCAGTTGTTTCCGAAGCACCGGCTTTTGGCTCCATGAGATTTCCTCAAATCTTGGGTCCACAGCTTCTGAAATCGCTACAAGCTTATTCTGTTGCCAGAATCTCTCTCTCTGCCGACTCCTTAATTGTGACTGGCCTAAAGATGGGGTAGCCTCCTGAACTGGTGCAAAGTGGGTATTGAGGAGAGCTTCCCATATGGACGTATCCCAAGAACCCATCTCTCGGTAGTCCCAGCATAAATGGTGGAATACTATACGCGAGTCGTGTTTGATTTGGTCATCCGGAATTTTTCGGCTATTTCGGCGCTCAATCGCTCGCGCGCACTCGATATAGGTTGGCCCCGAAACGTTCTCGATCAGGAAGTCTCTCCAAACCTGTGACTCGGCTAACTCTTGGCACAGGAATCTTGAGCTCGCTTGGTCTCGGAACGCTGCTCGGAATAAAGGTTCCGAAGAGTTATAGAGGGTGCTCGGCGAACAGAAACAAAGGTCTCTGTTTACAGCAAGGTTGCAGCAATTAAATATGCTTCTGTTTTCCTTATAAACAATGTCGAGAAATCTTTGATACTCCCCAATATTTTCGGCCTGTAGGTATCCGCGAGCCACGCCAACCTCGTAGTTCAGGAAATCTTGGTAGGGCAGCTGGGGAACACCTAATTTCTCTAGTTCATCCGTATATTTGGATGCTAGAGCAGGTCTCAAAAAGGTTGTTTGGTCTATCATTGTTGTCAGAGTCAGGTTTGTATGGGGAGCCAGCTTTAGCTTTGTTGCGGACTGGAAGGACCCCGAGAGAACAGGCCATATCGGAAGCTGCTTCAGCGTGCTGAATGTTGGGTGGTCTCCATCTAGGAGATCTGAAATGTGAGGGAGGACAAGCCCGCTCAGAAACTAATGCATGTTAGAGGGAATTGAGGTTGGAGATGAATCTTAGAGATAGCTACCTCAATTCCTTCAGCGGGTATGCCCGAGAAGACCTGGGTCAATGAATCGATTTTGGGTACCCTAGCGGGTATGGAGCTGATAGCCAGAGTAAGGCGATGGACACCTGCTAACGACCACACCGACTCAGGGAACAGCTCTGTTATAGGAAATGTGGATTCGTTTACTAACACCAAGCCATTTAGTGCTTGGAAAAGTGGTGATTTGCATCCTTCCGGGAGGACAGAGAAAGGGTCGATGATCGCTGGAAGGTCTCCAGAAACAAAGTCTAAGGGGCTAAGAAACAGTAGGCTATTTGAATCACCTACGATCGACCCACAATATACCGGCAATGATTCGATGGATTTGAGATACTGATCCTTGTTGGTGGGATTTTTGGTGACACAAAGCTCAAAATATTCCCATACGCTGACGAGCCAGGCCTTTCGGTATTCCGTATCTTTTGACTCCACCAGCGCACATAATGGGGCTATATCCTCGAAGGTTAGTGGAGAAACATTCATTTCCTTCTCCAACAGTGCATCGGTTACGGGTCCCTCAAGATCTTGGGAAACTAGTCTCCCATCTGCAATTTCTAGGATACTACGCTCTAAGGGAGTTTTAGAGATGAAATACCGGATCTGGGAAGTCGATTTTCCCGAGAAGGTTCCCCAGGACCCATCGTCAAGTGGTAGAAGTGAACATCCGGTCAAGCAATCCTCTGATGTATCCGGTAATAGGAAGGCTAGTAAATTGTTAATGTTACCTACCAGATTCCCGGGGTCATTCTTCCAGTGGTCTTTGAGTGATTGGCAGCGTGTTGGATCGCGAAGTATATCCCGAACATACGCCGGAGTTACTAATGATAGCGATATTTTGCCTGTCGTAGCTTCTATTAATCCCTTCGCAACTGTAGGATGAGGCGTTACAATATTTGTAATATCTAGTTGTCTCAAGAGTGGGACTATAAATTCGCTCCACTCTGCGCTTAGAAAGTCGAAAATAGCCTCCCCGATGGTGAGATTTTTGATGGTCGGTGGTTTGCTTCCCGGAGAAGTAGAAAGCGGAGGCGGTATCGGCGGGTATAGGTCATAAGAGCTTTCAACCGCCTTTTTCCAAAATGCCGTTGATATAGTCAAGGGTACGTGGTCAGAATTTTTGAACTCGGAGGGCGGGGCCGGCCAGAAACGGTAGCCACTTGTTCCATGAACCTCCATAAGGTGTCTTAAGAATAGGAGGTAAAGAGGCACAATCCCCTCCTCGAAGATCCAATTGTTCCATTTTGAGCCTAGAAGGGATCCATTTTCCTCTTCAGATATGAGCGTTCGTCTGTCATTCTGTAACGCCATATTCTAGAGCAAATTTCAAATAGGGATTTAGCATATGATCTTTCCACAGGAGTGTGAGGGTCCTTTGACTTACTGCATTAATGCTAGCTGGGAGCGATAGGGGGTGTTTAGCATGAAGGGGCAGTCCCATAAAACAAGAAGTCGGTTGTTCGCGCTCTGGAACACCCAGTCCATATGCAGCTTGAAGTCTGTTGTACTCCGCCATCTGAACTAACTCCTGTGGAATATGTTGTTCTTCGGTGAGTCCGTCTATTGTCCACCATTTGTCATTCTCCGCGGAACCTAGGGCCCCAGGATGCTGTACCTGTCCAAAGACTTTTATAGTGACGTCCACCTCGTTTATCCTGCGGGATCTGATTGTCCGCAACGGCTTTGACGATGCCGAGACTGTCCAGATTGGTTCCTGCAGTCCCTTCTGCCAATAGGATATGGACGAGATATGTTTGAGAAATATCAGTGATATCCTTGCCTTCTCTATATAGTGTTCGAGATATGTGCGTGTTTCCATTGCTGAGATGCTCCTTGGGCAAAGCTGAGATTTATCTAATTGTCCGCGAAGCGGGAATCTGAAGATTGTTCCTTCGAATCTTGAGGAGGCTCCCGAAAAGCCGAATACTCCTTCAAAGGGTTTCAATTGATCCGGATCTTAATTATGTTAGTGTTGGATGTCGCACGGCGATCTTGAGATGAATTTGACCTGAGAGGACCTACATTGGGTTTCAACATCTCGAATTCTAAGCTTCAACCCACCCCGAGGGTTGCCTGTTAAGGGGAGTGGTGGCAAAAATAAATGTTCGGGACTTTGAATGTCAGCGTGCGCGGGTGAAATATTGAATTTGGTCACCTACTCAAATATCGCATAGAAATTCCCGGAGACGAGGCTGGGTGCGGATGTCCAATGATACCTTGATAACAAGAGTGATGTGAGCGCGAGATCTTGTTAGACGAGACCGTAATCTTACATCGTTAAAGCCCCTTTTCCGAACTTCCCAATTTTAGAGTAGTCGAGACCCTTCGATCCAATTCCAATATCAATGATGGACTTAAAGTCCTTGTCGGTAAACACTAAGTAGCCATCAGCATTCTGCTTTAACGTCTGAACAAATGCCACTTCGTTTTGGAACCCACCGCCGTTATTGTAGCAAAATAGGGCTTTCCCTTGAGCCGCCTCGAGTTCTTTGGTTATTAGTTTCTCTGTTGGGTATTCAGTGGAGTGGTCAATCATCCAATCGATTCGGGTTGCAGTTTTGCCCTTTTCATCCAGGCAATCCTCCGCGTTGGCCAAGTACTCGCTGAAAGTGCTTTCCACACTGTACCGTTGTAAAGTATCTCGGATTGCCGCCATGAGGCTTTGTTTCTGAGAGAAGTCTTGCTCAAAACCTGGGTCGTGGAGAGATGCGAGGATCCTATCTTCCACGGTGGGTAATCCAAGTTTCTTGATTGTTGATTCCGGGATTCTTGGGTGTGGTGTTAGCCTATCTGCTAGGAAAAGAGGCACATCATCACCACTGGCGGTAAGCTTTGAAAATGTGCGCATAACCCCATCCCGATCCGGAGCCTTGAATTCTGAAATTGAATTCTGGTCATTTTTCCCGTTGTGTCGTTCTGCGACCTGTTCCACAATATAAAGTGCTACCTTCAGATCTTGGGTAGAGAGAGGTTCCTCGGTCGCAATACTCTCTTGTAGCTCTTTCAACTAGAAGCTTTGAATCAGAGAACGGAGCCACTGGTTTTGCAAACTAAAACTGGATAGGGAGGAGAAATATGAATTACCTGTTCAAATGTCGGCTCTAGTTTGACCCCGATGTGGGTGAGAAATTGTTCGACGTTTCGCTCCTCTTGTAGAAACCTTTTGGAAACATCATCGTAGTAGGGGTGCAAGTGCTCGGCTCCGGCGAAAAATATTTCAGTCGGAGAAAAGAACTGCCCCGAGGAACCAGGAATCCATTTTCGACTCTTTAGCTCTAGTTTGGTGTCCACCGTTAGGGACCTCCCTGGAGGATAGATCTTATACCAATATTCTACTAGTCTCGCCAGTGAGCGACAGTCACCATTCTTTTTTGCTCCTTCTAATTGCTTATCCATCTGTTCAACTGTGAATTCAGCGTCCCATCCCAACCATTCTTCCCATTCCTTCTCCCGTCTGTGGCTGATGGAGGATTTCATAATTGGCATGGAATAATTGCACAACGGTTGGAAAGTTGTAGATCGACATTGGAGAGCGCTGAATAGCCCAAGTTCCCCTTCTAGGCTTATTGCTGGGATCCAGCACAATTCCATACACTCCTTACTGGGTGGCTGGGTGGGGGGTTTGCTTTGGAACAAGGTGGATACTTTGTCGTTAATATCATGGGGAGAGCGTCTTGAGCTGCTGTAGGAATGAATTCTTTCCAATATAACTTCATCGGTTATACATTCCGGCATCCCTAAACAAACAAGAGCGGAGTGGTAAACTGTATCAAAGCTTTTTATTGGAGATCGTTTCTCTTCTTCGAAGTACAGTGCAGCCACATAGGTTCCCGAAACCGTATCATTAGGGCGTCGAAGCTTCTCTGCACTTACAGGGACAATCTCCTTCGTAGAAAGCGTAGATTGAACTTCATCCGATAGAGACTTGAACTGGTCCATTGCAAATTCAATAAACCCCATTCTTCTTTTATCGTCGCTTGCACCGGTTTCCGCGATTCTAGGAACGACATGATCTCCGAGTATCTCGGAAACAGAGGGGCACTTGAATAGTTCCAGGTGGGAGACCAGTCCCTTGAGCTCGCGATACCTTATGTCGATGAAAATATGTTGAGGTGTGTCTAGTGTGATTGGTAGGTTCTCTACCCCAACATATATTGCAAGAGGATTGGGGTCAAGGCTGGATATCGAGATCCAAGGGCTTCGTAACTTTGTTAGCCTAACCATCAAAATTAATAGGAAGAGGAGCTAACCGTTCGCTCGGGATCGAGTCATTTGCTTCCTGAAATATGGGCAATTTCCGCACCGTTGATTCCATGCATGATCTCTCGGATGCACTACAATCTCTTGACAGGTCAAATAGATGTCGTATTAATTCCATTTTTTCGGTACGATCCAATTTTTCCGCAAAAACTTTCATGGTAGCTTCAAACCACTTCATCAGGGACTCCCGATCGTCATAATCCTTGATAATCCCGAGCTCTCGGAGGATTTGTGTAGCTTGTGGGAAGCCATCTCCCGTGCAGAGATGCATTACCACGGGCCCGAAGCGATTTGCGAGGTTAGATTTAGTTCGTTTTAGAAAGGAGCCAATTCCCTTGTTCACCGATACATTCAGGACCGGATATTCAGAGGTACTTCCGATCCTCTGAAACATTCCTCCTCCGAGGGGGATAAGCCATAGATCCTTCAACGCTCTCGCAAATATGGGCCCTCCAGTCTGCCTATGCAGAGCCATGGAGACCCACTTCCAGAATAACTCAACGAAATCTGCGAACCCAGGTTTATCGATTTTAACCACTGGTGTTTGTTCGGCTATTCCACTGAATTCGTAGGAAAAACAATATTGAATCGCATCTTCAACGGTCCAGGCCTTGATTCTTGTGTATTGTTCTATCTCAGCGATGTGAGTCACGAGTGTTTCCCGCGATCTCTCGGAAAGAGCGTCTCTCTTCACTGTCTTTTTTAGTGACTTACAGAACAGCTTCTCTTCAATTGTGTCTCTTGCTAGGAGTACTCGATTATCCTGGGATGAGGGCATCTCAAGCCCTCGAAAAGTGCCATCCAACAGAGGGATTAGGGGGGCTTCACAATTTTTAAAATCCTTGGCCTGGCGATCCGACAGAACATAATCTAACAGGACCATCCGGGGCTTGATATCTAGGTTTAGGAGTGCATCAGAGTCTTTGATAGTCGTCAAATGGCGCCGTCCAGCAGAAGGCGAAAGGTATTCGAGGCCTATCGTGTGATCCAGGGAACCAATTTCAGTTCTTCGGTCTTCTGGGGGAAGCACGACACGAGCCTCAGCATCTCTCAAGGAGAAATGCAGATCTTCGGGAATACCAAGGGTGAATACCACTTCTTTGGCTGGTTTTACTATTCCGCTAACGGTTGGCAGTAGCTCGAGACCATCCTCAACGACCTTCTTGAAAACAGTCCCCAAAATGCCCATCCACAATTGCCCTGATTCCCCCTGTTTACCTGCAGGCCAGAAATCCCAACCAGGAGAAAGGTTCTCGTTCCTCATGAACTCTAGATTGCGGACCCAAGCATGTGGCACACACTCATGTAGCAACCACTCATTCCATTGAGCGCCCAATCGAGTGGCTGAATTGGAGCTCATGGTGGTGTCACCCCCGGAATGGATATTGGACCGATCTGGGGTAATGCTGAATATTCCGTGGATGTGGGCAGGGTGTTTCGTCTGAATCGGGAGGGGAAGGGTAGTAAACAGCCTTCCACCGAAACCGGGTGTTTTCTGGGGGTTAGATTAGTTTTGACTAAATAATATACTTAAAATTTGGATGAACTAACGTCTAATGGATTGGCAATTGCGACCCAAGGGAATAGCTTGTGGTTCCTTGCCCACTTTTGCAGGTCTTCATTCCCTGCCGATTTCCGTAGATAATGACTTATCGCATATTCAACCTTAGTTTCAGAAGGATCTTTGCCGGGTCCGGGGCTCCGAAGGATGCTGATTTCCATCGTAAAGTCTGATCCGAAATGCTCTTTTGATTGTTCCACAAAAACCTGGCGGTACCCCTCATTGATGAGGTTCTCTCCTCTGTCATTCCTCGTCTCATTCGGGACAGTGGACTCGGCTTTGGCGAAAATAGTGTCATCAATTCTCAAGGTGATTGAGCGTAGATTGCGCAAGAAGAGTAGGGATTCCATAAGTTCGTTTGAAAACAATTCGAAGACATCTTCGATATCTTCCTGCGATGTATGCATATTATCCTCGACGATTTCGCTTCTTATAGCTTGAGCCTCATTCCTCAATGGTAGGCGGATAATGGTCCCGTCGAAAGCTGTATCATAGGTTTTCAAAATACTATCAAATGCGGAAAGCTGATTCTTCATCCCGGAATCATTGGAGTCAGCGACAAAATCATAAAGCGGACCTCCGGGGAAATTAATTTTCGAAGACCATTTCTTGTGTGGATCAAGCAATAAGAGAGAGGTTCCAGAGAGTATGGATGGGTTGTCGGTCCAGTTGTATACCTAAAAGCCGCGAAATTAGTGCTTGATGTGAACGTTGGGGGAAAGCAGAGAATGGGATTATAATTACACTGTTAAATCCTCGGCCAAACTTTCCGGTGGAAGTGAGATCCTTAGCCTTTCCACTGTCACCAATCCTCTTTATGGACTCGAAATCTTTTTCAATAAATGGTTTGTTATTGTATACGAGGAGGGAGATTCCCTGAAATTCCGCAAGGTCCTCGTGTAGGAGGTTCGAAGTATGATGTTGCCGCGTATCGAGCACAAACTCGATGGTATCTGCACCAGCATCGTCGGCATTTTGACAAAGCTCGCGAAGGACACCACCTCCGGCGGGGTATTCGCTGATTATATTGCGCAGAAGAACTGTGAGAGATTGATCTTGGCCATTGTTTCTCTTGGGAGTAACAGGCATCTTGGAGAATTGGTATGACAGGGTCAATTATAACGTGTATGTTTAAGGAATCTTTTGCTTGCAAATAGGATGGGGACAAGTCTGGGATTTGGTGCGAGAGGCCATTTTTTTATAGTTAAATCCTTGGATTGTTTAAGGCAGCATCTCTGCGCGTGGTCGCCTGAGGCGTGTGAAGATGCTTGGATCCGCTTATGCTGCCAAGAAACGGTGCATGACAGCCTGGCGGGAACTATGGTAATTTACTTATTGATAAACTTGGAAAGTGCTGTTCTGTACAGTACAAGTAGCTTAGGATAAAAAGACCTAGCAGGAGGGGAAATTTTTTGGTGATGGTTAGGGGATTTGGTAGAGAGGGAGTACTGTGCTTGCTAGCTCTCATATTTGGCACCACAGCTTTTGGTTTCATGGGTTGTTCCTCGACGGCTAGTTCGCCCATAGTGCATCCGTAGGTATACTGACCTTGTTTATACGAATGTCACGCAATCCAGGTGCCGCTGGTGGAAATGGTGAACAGTTAATAGCAAGCAACCAAGTGACATCTCTCGGGCTCTGGAGTGGGGTGAGGGTCCAGAAAATATTTAAAATACATACCATCAATTACAGGGGAAGGTTATACGCTTAATATACCATCGCAGACTGTAAGCTAGACCACTCCCATGTCACGGGTGGGTGGTCACCACAGGGTGCCGGCGAAGCGGGCTATGGGGTGTCGTTCGGCAGGAAAGGGTTGATCCATCTCGATTTCTCCTCACCCTGATCTAGGGCGATTCTTGAAAGTATTGTACTTCTCCCGTTCTTTTTATTTGATTTAACAGGATTTATGGGCAGCGATGTGGACACTCTGAGTCGATAATCGGTGGGCGATAAAAGAATGCTTCTTAAGAGACAGACAAAAGCTTTTGAGAAAGGAATGTAATAGAATAAGAGACGAATCCAGAAAGATAGGAAAAATAACCACTGATAGAGAGATGTGAAAATCGACAACTTGCTTTTCGAAAAACTCGTATACAGAAAAGGAATACAGCCCTCTTTATGTGCCTCCGCTCCTCCAGCATATTTCCAGCATATGCCAAAACCTTTACCCAGTTCTGAGGCAGTGAGCTTTCACAACCGTAGTATTTCTAACTTGTGTACCGAGGCTCAGAGGTGTGTATGATAAGCCGCGGTTATGGGGTGTCGTCTCGCAGGAGTTCTTTGTGTTCTTGGCTGGTGGACTGGTATAAGTGATAGGAGATGCCACAGTTATTCTGATGGTCTCAAACATCTTCTTCATATGATACGAGTCTGGAGGTAGGGGGTGCCGCAGTCCTGTTTGATATTGTTGCGAGTCGAGTAAGAAGCTAAGATGGTGTGACGAAGAGCTGAGGGAAACTTTGGTCTGGATTGGTATTTGTAAATTGTATAAGTGCGTGTGTGTGTGTGTGTGACTGTGGTACTTGTCGACTTTGAGGATGGGGTGTTTCTAGTCAGTTGCTAGTATCAAATAGTGGGAAACCGCCAATATGTGTTGAGCAGCATGAGATGTGATGCCAGCAACATCTCAAATCCAACACTTTTGAACACGGATTTTATGAAGCATTGAAAAATGTATCTCCCCGAACCTTACCTATAAGCAAACAGCTGCTCCATCCTATCTTGCTTGGTGGGACTGCACCTTTCATAACATCTGGCTCTGGTCTCTAGGGATATTTGATTGACGAACGATAGCTACCAGTCATCATGATTCACCATTACTCCCCTGTCTCCAAGGCTGTCAGAGGAGAGCAATTTCTGTGTCACCGCTGGCTGTTATACCATAAAGCTATACTATCGATGTTGGCGAGTACAGTGCTAGTAGAGTATGAGGAAAGGATTCCCCTGCGAGGCGGGCGAGCGTGCGATCGGTGAGTGTGGCTTCTTTCAGGGTGAAGATGATCGAATCTGGGAAGCTATTGGGGGTTAATAGTACCGTGCTGCTTGTTTTTCTTTGGGTTTTCATTGACCCCCTCCACTTATTGCTGATTTATATGGAAAAGATATGCTCACTAAATGAACCCGAAAATTGGGCTAATAAGAAAGTGTTGGATATAACGCTTTTTCACACTTCACCGGTACTGTACACCCAAAATATTCCGTTTCGGCTAATTTTTGTTATGATAATTATGATACCAGCACTGGCTACCTTCTTACAATTACCCTGCCTAATGTGCTTGACAGCTGCGGGAGTACCGGTAGTCTGGGCAGTGCATCGGGTGGTGAACCCCGTGGACTTTCAGCTCCGATCGCCGGAAGGTTATACTGGCAAAAGACACGGCATAAGTAACAAATCAAATGGGCAGATTGGATTGGTTCTCCGCATGTCAGTCTCTTTTGTCCCAATTTTTATACCATAATTTTCCCTGCCCTGGAAGTACTTTATCCTAAATCAGACTCTAGTTAGACCCACAGCACCGGAAACGATAGCCGGGCCCAAAAATGCCACTGTGAGGCACTCCCGATTGGGGGGGGGGGGGACGGCAGGGCCATGACCAGTTGCACCGAGTTATCAGGAGAAGTACGGACAAGAACCGGACATGAGTACACAGTCCGGTCCGTCATGGTTTTCCTCCATGGCGGATGTACTACCCTGTTAAGAGCTCCGTGAACCTAATGGAAAGCGTATGATACCAAAAACATACCTGCACCAGATAAAGGCAACTACAGGAAGGAAATAGGCTAACTGCATATAAAGGAAATATCTGCGATTAAGGAAATATTCTCCGCATCGCTCGCCCTGGCACTCCCGTAACGAGAAATCAAAGGCCAACTAAAAAAAACCCACAGCTACAGTGGGAACAAGGAGAAAAAGTGGTCCTGACTAGAACCTAGGACAAGCCTCCTGATGGGAAAGTGAGCCAGAATCCACGGATTGGGAAAACTCTATCCCCGAGGGGGCGGGTAGACAGTGGCAAATTGTCTATAGACGGGGATCTTATGCGAAACACTAGGCTCCGACAGCACAGGGCCGAAACCTGAAATCATGAATATGAGGACCACCGGAGCCTCATTATAGACATTATGGAAAGATATTTTGTGATGAAGAGCGCTTGGCAGGTCCTCAAGCCAGAAAATAACGGTGTTAAAAGCTACAACCCTTCAATCTGATGGAGATGTGATCTCAGGTGGTTGTGGGCAGGATACAAGGGTTCAGCTGGAGGGTATGTTATGCTCTGTATAGCAGGGTTGTGACTGCGGTTATGTATGTTTTCTTTCTGTGATGAGGGTTAGGATGGCAGTCATGGATAGTTCCTCTTTCTGTATATAGACAGAACAAGTGGTCGATAGACCACTTGTCGAAGACATCTTTTCCTACCCCTACGCAAGCGTTCTTCCTCCACCGTGCAAGCTTCCACTGTTGCCACTTGCTATCACAATCCTCTCCCTGCTAGATATTCGCAATGCACCAGATGTCCGCAGAAGCGCTCAGAATTTGATGGCGCCAAAAATCCAGCGACCCGCTTAATATGTGGTCACTCCACCATCAAGATCCCAAGGCATCCAACAGAGCCAGGGAGTCAATTCGAGTGTTTATAGAAGCACCAGTAGTAACTGAAGCAAGGTGGGTAATGGAGAATGTTGCGGATATAGAAGGTATACGGGGTGAGAAATGATATTGAATTTCCTATCTTCCATTGAGCTTTGTTCGGTATCCGTATAGCTCCCCTATTTGGTTTCACTGCAGACCCTGTGGGTTCTTTAGCAGACCCGGGTCGTAGAGGAGAGAATACGCGAGTAAACCCCAAATACTTACAACCCCCCTCATCTGATCCCAACCAGCTCCTAGCAGCCAATCTACCCCGCCCTCTCTCCCGCTGTTCTATTGCCCAGGGTCTAATCTGATCACAAAATATCACTCGAGGTGCTACCCAGAACTAGCCGCATGAGAGCCCGCATCCTTCGGCCCATTGAAGCACAAATCCTGGGCGGTGCCCCTAAATCACACCCTATTAACAGTGATGGAGCAGAGGGTTATAAAAACCAGGGATGGGCGGACCCTTTGCACGGGGCGTAGACCGTGCGCGGGAGAGGGGGGTGTTCCGGGGATATATGGTGGTGTTCCGGTGCCCCGAAGGGATTGGGTGTATGTATGGTAAAATGGAGAGGGCGCTGTGTCTATGATATGAGTCGGTGGGATGGAGGGAGGGAAGGTATTGGGCTCGCATGGACGACATTGTTTTGTATCATTGTGGATCGCCGGAGAAATATTGTTATAATGTGAGTGTGGTTTTTTAGAAACCTACACATTGGCCTTCAACATCAAAACATTTATTTTAGTATAGCCATGTAGGTAGCCCTCTAGAGCATAGTCCTAATAGCTCAGAAAATATTTTTGAGCTTCTAACGACCTCTCTAGCCTGTTTTATGTACAAAAATGTAAAATATTTTTGAGAATAATTTTTTTTCATAGGGAAATACTAGAGCTTTCTGGCTATCTGTGGAACCTGGTTTGAAATCACTAGGTCATAGAGGTGTGATGTTATGAATAGTTAAAGTAAAGATACTTTTTTTTATTCAATTATATTGCATGTGGGACGTTCTAAATGCACATGAAAATTATTCATGCTACAAGTTTGGAGAAACAGTCACAAGTGGACCAGATGGTTAAGCAGCCAAGGAAAGCTCTACTGAGGAATTGCCAAAAACAAGAAAATGTGGAAGGCCTCTATGATCTAACAATAAATATGGTAGGAAAACTACATAAATAATAAACTTTTGTATATTTTAAAACACAGATATATACTTTACACAGTAAATAAAATTTTAATAGAATTACTTTATTTTTAAACTTTTTTATTATAGAAGAGAAGTGATTCTACAGTAGAGAAAAAGAAAAAAGTGTTTATCTCAAGATTGATTTTCTCTGGTTGCCACCCTTCAAACCTGTTTTCCTGGTAACAACCAAAAAAGCCCATATGTAGGTTTCAACAAAACCACACTCATGTTATTGTAAAAAGGAGACCTGGGGTGATACCCGCTGGGGCTGAATCACAAAACCAGTTGGGCTTAAAAATAACGCAAACAGTCAAACAGAAAGCCCAAAGTCCAGAATCTAGAAAAAAAAACTTATGAACGAAGGAATCATGACTCCGGGCTATGCTACATTACTCGATCATAGGGGGAAGGGGAAAACTCCTGGGGGATACAAAATATCTAGTTCTGCGACTATTAGTCCTCCATGGGATCCTCCCTCTCGACAATAGCTCTATTATCCTCAATGTACTTCTTGCAAACACGGGCGAGCCGGTCCGCCTTATACATCCTAGAGCTTCCCAACATGGACTTGACGGTCTCAGGACGTATCCAATGAGGGTCCGACAAGTAATCCTCCATGGAATGCTTGAAGTTCAGCAGGCGCCACTTCTCCGACTTCTCCAGTTGCTCGAGTAAGTTTTCAAGTTGCGTTGTGACGTCATCCTCACGCTGGGGTTCGATGAACTTGTTAGTGTAAATGTAATCAAGTAGGACCTTGATCGTGTTCGGATCGTCCTGCAGTAAAACTTCGGCAGTGGACGATTCCTTGAATTGTGAGGAGAGCATTCCTCTCCAGTAATCGGATACGGAAGCAAGAACAACTTTGTGTGCCTTGAAAGTCTGGAGAGGTGAAATTATTGTGACGTCGAAGAGTAATCCCTGATTGCGGAGATTGAGGAGGCCTTCGAGGATGGGGAACTGCGTTTTAGGGGGTTCGGGGGTTAACGGTCGGGGGTTCACTATTCCGGACACATTGGCATGGTCCAAGAGCTGGCGGAAGTGGTCTAGGAAGGATCGTACACGCTTTATTTCCCCAGAGTCGTACTGGATACCGAGGCAAAGATTCCTAGCACACGACCATGATTTTCGGAAGGTTTCTAGTGCAATATTCTCCCTTAGGTCTTCGTTCTCGATATTGAGCCAGATTAATGCACTCTCTCGAATAGTGTAGGTGGGTATCTGTCCCTCAAGGTATTGGTAGGCCTCCTTGATTTCGGATATGCGTGTCTGAAGCTCATTTTCTGCTATTTCCCCATTGTGTGATGCAAGGAATTCTAAATGCCCTATGACTGTCGTTGGTGTAATCATTGGCTTTATCGACGTCATCATCGTCAGAGCAAGGGAACCCATTTTTTTCCGAAGCACCGGCTTTTGGCTCCATGAGATTCCCTCGAATCTTTGATCCACTGCTTCTGTAATTGTTACTAGCTTATTCCGTTGCCAGAATTTCTCTCTCAGTCGACTCCTTAATTGTGACTGGCCCAAAGATGGGGCAGCCTCTTGAACTGGTGCAAACTGTATTTTTATGAGAGTTTCCCATGTAGATTCAGACCAAGAATCCATCTCTCGGTGGTCCCAGCATAAATGGTCGAATACGATACGCGAGTCATGTTCGATTTGGTCATCCGGAATTGTTCCGCCATTTCGGCGCTCAATTGACCAAGCGCACTGCATATATGTCGGTCCCAAAACATTCGTGATGAGGAAGTCTCTCCAAACATGTGACTCGGCTAACACTGGGTGAAGGAATCTCGAGCTCGCTTGGTCTCGGAACGCTGCTCGGAATAAAGGCTCCGAAGATTTATAGAGGGTGCTCGGCAAACAGAAACGAAGATCTCCGTTCACAGCCAGGTTACAGGATCTAAATACGCTTCTCTTCTCCTTGTAAACCATCTCGGTAAACCTTTTGTACTCCCAAATTTTCTCCGCAGGTAGGTACCCGCGAGCCAAGCCGACCTCATTGATCAGGAAATCCGGGTAGGATAGCCGCGGTACACCCAATTTCTCTAGTTCATCCCAATATTTAGATACTAGCTCTGGTCTCAAAAACGTGGTTTGGTCTATCATGTTCGTCAGAGCCAGGCTTTTATGGGGAGCCAATTTTAGATTTGCTGCGGACTGGAAGGATCCTGAGAGAACAGGCCATATCGGAAGCTGCTTCAGCGTGCTCAATGCTGGGTCGTCCCCGTTCAAGAGATCTGAAATGTGAGGGAGGATAAGTTTGCTCAGAGCCTAGAGCATGTTAGAGACAATTGAGGTTGGGCGATGAGTCTTAGAAATAACTACCTCAATACCCTCCACAGGCACATCCGAGAAGACCTGATCCATCGAATAGATTGTGGGAACTGTAAAGCGCAAGGAGCTTATAGCCTGGATGAGACGATGGGCACCTGTTGACAAACTCACCGACTCGGCGGGAAGATCCGTTTTGGGAAATGTTGATTCGTTTACTAGTATCAAGCCATTTAGCGCTTGGAAAAGTATCGATTTGCCACTTTCTTGAGAAGGAGTATTAGGGTCGACGATGGCTGGAAGTCTTCCGGAAAAAAATCTCAGGGGGCTAAGAAACTGCAGGCTACCTGGTCCGCCCACGGCGGACCCACAGTATACAGGCAATAACTCGATGGATTTGAGATATCCCTCCCTGTTAGTGGGATCATTTGTGGCGCATAGTTCAAAATATTCCCAGACACTGATAAGCCAGGTCTTTCGGTATTCCGGATCTTTTGACTCCGCCAGCTTACATAATGCGGGTATATGATCGAAGCTTAGTAGAGAGATGTTTATCTCCCTCTCTAACAATGCTTCGATCACAGGTGTCTCAAGATCTTGGGAAACTAGCCTCCCACCCGCGACTTCCAGGATGCCACGATCCAAGGGCGTCATAGAGGTCAAGTACTGAATCTGGGAAGTTGACCGTGGTAAGAAGGTTCCCCAGGACCCGTCGTGGAGCGGTAATAGTGAACACCCAGTCAAACAATCCTCCGATGTATCTTGCAATAGGAAGGATATTAACTTGTTGATATTGTTCGCGAGGCTCCCTGGATCTTTCTTCAAGTCGTCCTGGAGCAGCTTGCATCGGGTTGGATTGTGGAGTATATCCCGAACATATGCCGGAGTTACCAGTGATAGCGATACTTTCTCTGAAGTAGCTTCTGACAATCCCTTTGCGACATTAGGAGGAGGAGTTACTATATTCGTAATACCCAGTTGCATGAGGAATGGTACTATGAATTGGCTCTGTTCTGCACTTAGAAAGTTGAAAATAGCTTTCTTGATGCTGAGATTTTCGGTTTTCTGTAATCTGCTTCTCCCCCGCGTACAAAGAGGAGGCGGTATTTGAGGGTACAAATCGAAAGAACTTTCACCCGCCTTTTTCCAAAATTCGGTTGAGATAGTCAAAGATATGTGGTCGGGGTTTTTGAGCTCCGAGGGTGGGGCCGGCCAAAAACGGTAGCCACCCGTTCCATAGAGCTTCATGAGGTGTCGTAGGAATAGGAGGTAAAGAGGTACAATTCCCTCTCCAAAAATCCAATTGTTCCACCCCAAGCACTCAAGGGAACCATTTTCCTCTTCAGATATGGGTGTTTGTCTGTCACTCTGCAAGGCCATGTTCTGGAGCACATTTCAAGCGGAAATTAGAAACTGGTCCTCTTGTCTCGGTAGTATGGGGTTCTTTGACTTACTGCATTAATGCTAACTGGGAGCGATAGGGGGTATTTCGTTTGCAGGGGAAGTCCCATAAAACAACAAGTGGCCTGAGCGCCATCTGGAACTGCAAGTCCGTATGTGGCTTCAAGTCTGTTGCACTCCGCCATCTCCGCTAACTCCGTTGGAATATTTTGTTCTCCGGTGGATCCCTCTATTGTCCACCATTTGTCACTCTCTAAGGAAGTCGTGGATCCAGGGATCTGTATCCGTTCAAAGGTTTTCAAGGTAATCTCTACCTCCCTAGCCCTAGTAGATCTGCCGGTAATTGTCTGCAACGGCTTTGACGATGCTGAAACTATCCAAATAGGATCCGGTATTCCCTTTTGCCAATAGGATACGGATGAGATATTTTTAAGAAACACGAGTGATATCCTTGCTCTCACTGTGTATTTTTCGAGATAGGAGCATGCCTCTGTTGAGGAGATGTTCCTTGGAGATAGCAGTGAACTGTCAGTGAGCCCGCGAAATGGGAACCTAAAGATTGTTCCTTCGAATCTCGGGGATGCTATCGAAAAGCCGAATACCCCTTCAAAGGGTTTCAATTGATCCGGATCTCATTTATGTCAGTGCCGGATGTCGAAAGGCGGTTTTCAGATGAATTTAGGCTAGGGGGACTTACATTGGGCTTGAACATCTCGAATTCTAAGCTTCAACCCACCGCGAGGCTTGCCTGTTAGGGGGAGCGGTGGCAGAAAACAATTCTCGGGACTTTAGGTGTCAGTGCGTGTGAGTGAAATGGTGGGTTTTTTTTACCTACTCGAATATCACGTAGAAATCCCCAGAAACAAAGCTAGGTGCAGATGTCCAATGATACCTAGAGACCAGGAGTGGTGTGAGCGTGAGATCTTGTTAGATGAGACCATGATCTTACATCGTTAAAGCCCCCTTTCCAAATTTGCCAATCTTTGTGCGGTCAAGGCCCTTCGACCCAATTCCAACATCAATAATAGATTTAAAATCCTTGTCGGTAAACACTAGGCAGCTATCAGTACAATGATTCGGTGCCTAGACAAACGTCACATCATTTAGACTTACCGCCATCATTGTAGCAAAATAGGGCTTTTCCTTGAACGGTCTCGAGTTCCTGAGTTATCAGTTTCTCCGTTGGGTATTCTGTGGAGTGGTCAATCATCCAACGGATTTGGGTTGCAGTTTTGCCCCCCTCACCCACGCTATCCTCCGCATTGGCCAAGTACTCGCTAAAGGTACTTTCCACACTGTACCGTTGTAAAGTATCCTTGATTGTAGCCTTGGGGCTTTGTGATTGAGAGAAGTCTTGTTCAAAACATGGGTCGCTGAGAGACGCAAGAATCCTATCTTCCACGGTAGGTAATCCAAGTTTCTTTATTGTTGATTCCGAGATCCTTGGGTGCGGTGTTGGTCTATCTTCTATGGAAATATGCACATCATTACCCCTCGCAGTGAGCTCCGAAAATGTGCGCATAACCCCATTCTGATCCGGAGCCTTGAAATCTAAAGTTAAATTTTGGCCCTTTTTCCTAGTATGTCGCTCTGCGACCTGTTCCACGATATAAAGTGCTACCTCTAGATCCTGCGTTGAAAGGGGTCCCTTGGTCATAATTCTATCTTGTAGGTCATTCAGCTAGAACTATTGTGTCAGCGAAGAGAGCCACCTGTTTCGCATATTAAAGCAAACAAGGAGAATACAAGTTACCTGTCCAAAAGTCGGCGCTGGTTTAACTCCGATGTGAGTAAGAAATCTTTTGATATTTGGTTTTGCCTCGAGGAACCTTTCACAAACATTATCGTAGTAAGGAGGCAGCTGCATGGCACCTGTGAAAAACATTTCGGTTGGAGAAAAGAACCCTCCCGAGGATCCAGGGATCCATTTCCGACTATTCACCTTCAGTTCGGCGTCTGGTGTTGAACCGACCTTTCCGAGAGAGTAAATCTTATACCAGTATTCCACTAGGCTTGCTAGCGAAAAACGGTCTCCTCTCCTATTTGCCCCATCTAATTGCTTGTTCATTTGTTCAACGGTGAGCTCAGTGTCCCATCCTAACCACTTTTCCCACTCCTTCTCCCAGGCGTGGCCGATAGAGAATTTCGTAATGGGCAAGGAATAATTGCACAAGGATCGAAACCTTCTAGACCGACATTGGAGAGGGCTGAACAGTCCAAGTTCTCCTTCTGGGCTTATTGCTGGGATCCAACACAATTCCATACACTCCTTACTGAGCGGTTGGGTGGGGGGTTTGCTTTGGAACAAGGTGGATACTTTGTCATTAACATCACGAGGCGAGAGTCCCGAGCTGCTGTAGTAATGAATTCTTTCCAAGATAATTTCATCAGTTATACCTTCCGACATCCCTAAACAAACAAGAGCGGAGTGATAGGCTTTATCAAAGTCTTTTATAGGAGATCGTTCTTCCTCTTCGAAATATAGTGCAGCCATATGTTTTCCCGAAACCGTGTCCTTGGGGCGTCTAAGCTTCTCGCCACTTACCGGGGCAATCTCCTTTGAAGAAAGCGCAGAACAGGCTTCAGGTGATAAAGACTCGAAATGGCTCAAAGCAAATTCAATGGATCTCATTCTTATTTTATCACCGGGAGTACCGGTTTCCGAGATCCTGGGAACGACGTGGTCTGCGAGTATCTCAGAGAGGGAGGGGCACTTGAATAATTGTAGGTGGGATACCAGTCCTTTGAGTTCGTGATACGTTGTGTCGATGAAAATGTATTGAGGTGTATCCAGGGTGATTGGCAGGTTCTCCACCCCAACATATGTTGCAAGGGGAGAGGGGTTGTCGTTGGCTATTGATATCCAGGGACTTCGTGACTCCGTTAGCACAACTGTAAAAACTAACAAGAAGACAAACAAACCGTTCGTTTGGGCTCGAATCATTTGCCTCCTGAAATATGGGCAACTTCCGGGCCGTTGGCTCCATGCATGATCGCTCGGATGCACTGCAATCTCTTGTCAGGTCGAATAGGTGTCGTATTAATTCCATTTTTTCGTTACGATCCAATTTTTCAGCAAAAACCTTCACGGTAACTTCAAGCCACCTCATTAGGGATCCCCGATCGTCATAGTCCTTGATGATCCCGAGCCCTTGGAGGATTTGTGTAGCACGTGGGTATCCATCTCCCGCGTAGAGATGCATTATCTCAGGCACGAACCGATCCGCAAGAGCAGATTCAGTTTGCTTTAGAAATGAACCAATTCCCTTGTTTGCTGACACATTCAGGACAGGATATTCGGAGATGCTTCCGATCCTTTGAAACATTTGTCCTCCGAGAGGGATAAGCCATAGATCCTTCAATGCGTTCACCAATGTAGATCCTCCATCTCCCTTATCCTGAGCCTTGGAGACCCATTCCCAGAATCGCCCAACGAAATCGCCAATTCCAGGTTTATCGATTTTAACTACTGGCACCGGACCAGTTATTCCATCGAATTCATGGGAAGAGCAATATTGAGCCGCATCCTCAACCGTCCAGGCCTTGATTCTGCTGTGCTTTTCGATCTCGGCAATGTGTCCAACCAGTGTTTCCCGCGATTTCTTAAGAAGAGCACCTATTTTCACTATCCTTTCTGGTGATTTTGTAAAGAGGTCCTCTTCAGTTTTGTCTCTCGCTATGAATATTCGATCATCCTGGGATGTGGCCATTTCCAGCCCCCGAAAAGTACCATCGGACAGAGGGATGAGAGGGGCTTCACAATTTTTAAAATCCTTAACCTGGCAGTCAGACAGTATATAATCCAGCAGGACCATTCGAGGATTGATGCCTAGGTGCAGAAGTGCATCAGAGTCTTTGATAGACGTTAAATGGCGCCGTCCAGTAGAAGGGGAAAGGTATTCGAGGCCTATCTTGTCATCTAGAACGCTAATTTCCGTTCTCCGGTCTGCCGGGGGGAACACGACTCGGACTCCAGCATCTCTCAAGGAGAAATGCAGATCTTCGGGAATGTCGAGGGTAAATGCCACTTCTTTGGCCGGCTTTACCATTCCGCTGACGATTGGCAGTAGCCCAAGACCATCCTCAACGACCTTCTTAAAAACAGTCCCCAAAATGCCCATCCACAATTGCTCCCATTCTCCCTGTTTCCCTGCAGGCCAGAAATCCCAACCAGGAGTAAGGTTGTGGCTTCTTATAAACTCCAGATTGCGAACCCAGGCGTGTGGCACGCACTCGTGTAGTAACCACCTATTCCACAGAGCCCCTAACCGAGTTGATGCATTGTAACTAATGGTGGTGTCACCCCCGGAATGGATATTGGACCGATCAGGGGTAATGCTAAATATTCCGTGAATATGGGCAGGATGTTTCGTCCGGATGGGAAGGGGAAGGGTGGCAAATAGCCTTCCGTCGAAGTCAGGTGTTTTCTGGGAGTCAGGTTAGTTTTGGCAAAATGCTACCAATCATCTCGGAAGAAAAACGAACGTCTAATGGATTGGCAACAGCGACCCAGGGGAATAGTTTGTGGTCTCTTGCCCATTTCTGCAGGTTTTCATCCTCCATGGATTTCAGTAGGCGATGACTTATCGCATATTTAACCTTGGTTTCAGAAGGAGGGGATGTGCCTGGTTCGGTGCTCCGAAGGATGCTAATTTCCATCATAAAGTCCAACTCGCAAGACTCTTTTGATTGCTCCACAAAAACCTGGCGGTAACCCTCATTGACGGGGTTCTCTCCTCTGTCGTTCTTCTTCTCATTCCGGATGGTGGACTCAGCTTTGGAAAAGATGGTGTCATCAATTCTCAAGGTGATTGAGCGTAGATTGCGCAAAAAGAGGAGGGATTCCGCTAGTTCATTTGTAAACAATTCGAAGACACCTTCGATATCTTCTTTCGATGTAGACAAATGATCCTCGACGATTTCACTTCTGATAGCCTGAGCCTCGCTCCTCAATGGCAGACGGATAATTGTCCCCTCGAAGGGTGTATCGTGGCATCCCAAAATACTGCCAAATGCAGAAAGCTGGTTCTTCATGTCGGGTTCCCCAGAGTTTGCAACGAAATCGTAAAGTGGGCCTCCGGGAAAGCCAATATCCGATGACCATGTCTTGTGTGGGTCGAGCAATAAGAGAGAGGTTCCGGAGAGTATGGATGGATTGTCGGTCCAGTTGTACACCTAAAAGCTCCGTAATTAGCAGTTTGACGATGTGAGCATTAGGAGAAAGCAGAGGTTGGGATAGCAATTACACTGTTAAATCCTCGGCCGAACTTCCCAGTGGAGGTGAGATCCTTAGCCTTTCCACTATCACCAATCCGCATTATGGACTGGAAATCTTTTTGAGTAAAGGGTCTGTTATTGTATGCGAGAAGGGAGATCCCCTGGAATTCCGCAAGGCCCCCGTGGAGGAGGTCCTCGGTAGGGTATTGTAGAGTATCGAGCACAAATTCGATGCTATCCGCGCCAGCATCGTCCGCATTTTGACAAAGTTCACGAAGGACACCACCGCCGGCGGGGTATTCGCTGATGATATTGCGCAGGAGAACGGTGAGGGATTGATCTTGGCCATTGTTTCTAGTGGGAACGGCAGGCATCTCGGAGAATTGTTATGGCGGGTCGATTGATGAGTGGGTCTGTGTTCAGGGAATTTTCGTTCGCAGACAGGATGGGGGATAGGGTACTTTGTCACTCCGCGCGAGAAGCTATTTTTTAGTTGAGTCCTCCCTCGGATTACTCAAGGCAACAATCTCTGTCCTTGGAATTGCGTAACGCCTGGTAAATTCCCGAACCCGCATATGCTGCCAAGGCCCTGTGCGTGAGACCCTCGGGAGAAGTGTGTCGCTTTTTGATGGACCCGGGAAGTACGATCGTACCAGTAGCTTACGACAGGATAAACGAACACCCGGAAAGGAGGGGGATATTTAGCTGTGTTGTGATTGGGAAGCATGGGGCGGCGTTATCACCCGCCAACCTTCATATTTACGGTAGTTCACAGCCTTTGGTCTCATGAGTTGTTGCTCTTCATCTCGTTGGCCTATGCTGCATATGCGGGCATATGCTGGCCCATTCGTTATTACAAGCGTCAGGCAAATACCGGTGGAGCCATTCAGCCCCGGGGTGGGAAGTGTGCTTATGCAGGCCTCTCGGGTGCCAAGTTTCAAGCTGATCTGTCAGTTTAGAGTACCGGAAGTGGAGATAATGAGCGGCCGATAACAGGCAAGACGGGTAGCTTCTTTCGGCGGCTCCAAAGCGGAGTAAGAGTAGGGAAAGGGTTTAAAAATTTGAAATACGGTACCATCGATTGCAGGGATATACAAAGTACACTTGCTACAGGTATCGGATACAGCCAGTGTTCCCTGACCCCGATTACGGGCAAGTGACACGGTCATGTCACTGATGTTGGGTCATGATAGGCGGTCGGTGAAGTTGCCGACGAGGTGTCGTCCGTCGTTAGAAGGGAAAGGATGATGCATCTCGCCCCAAGCCATGGTTGAAAGTGCTACCCTACCCAGCTCTTTTTGGGGCGGAGGGCTGTTATGAAGCGCTAGTTGCTAAGCCATTTCCATCCCCTATCCCTGATCTTGGCTTTGCGCGAAACCGCAATCCACCATACTGTATTGCCTGAAAAGAACTATCCCTTATCCTGTATTCTCGTTCACGCACTTTTAGCTTTGTACCGACATGGTGATCGTCAATAGCTAGGGCCAGAATAAGGACAGCAGGATCTGTATCCCCTGAAGCTGCGGAAAAGTTAAACCCCGTTTAAAATATTGAGAGCTAGCCTATCCAAGTAATCGTGACAGGAAAAACCTTGTAGCATGTAAATGTTGTAGTGCTCAGAATATCACAAAGTTCATAAAACACAGCATGGCCATGACAGAAAGAGAGGGTCTGCGTAAACTTAATCCCAATGGATTAAACAGGCTAGTGTTTACCACTCTACACTAGGCTAAATGTCTAAGTTGTTTCGAGGGATACTTTTTCCAGCTACATCCTCGCTTATCACTTCTGCCACAGCTAATGCAGCCTTAGCACCAGTGTTTGAATACAGGCAAAGGGATTGATAAAATCCAAGCACTACCAGTGGCGCTGGTCTCTAGGCATATTTGATTGGCGAGCGATACTGGTGGCTATCAATCATCATAATTCACCATTCCTCTCCTGCCGTCAAGGCTACAGAAGGAGAGTAAATGCGATACGGCCGCTAGCCGACCCTTGATACTACAGATCAGTGGCGGAATATGAGGAATCTCTTGCAGCCGTGCGGTTAGTGAGGGGATTTTCTTTCGTGAGGATTGCCTAATCTCGGATGCGATTGGTGGTAAGCCGTGCTATGGAGTTTTTCCTCCGCATCACTCATTGCCATCTCTGTTCTGTCTTGCCATTTATGAACTACTTTTAATTACCCTTCTCACTTGAACTAAACTACCACTCTTTCCGTTTCAATTCATGTGGCAGCACCCTTCGGACCACGCTTAGTATATACTTGCAGCGCCCTTTCCAGCCTCCGCAAGCACCGGCAGAAGGAGAAGGCGCCCAGAACGGTAGACCGTCCTAGCAGCCGTAACAAGTGAACGCCACTCTTAATCGCGGGACGGCCTCTTTGAGAGAGGAGGATCATTGGCTCGCAAGTATTGACCGCACTACTAGTATTATGTCTGCCAACATCTCGAAATTAGATGTCATGAATCTCAAATAATTAGACCCTGTACCAGTAGCCCAGCCACCCGGGGCCTAGAAGGTTCGGTGGAACTGCTTCCAAGAGCACCGGGTGAGCCGCAACGGCGCAATGTGCTCTTCCTTCATCTCGGAGGTCACAAGATGACAGTCATTGGATTCATACACATCTATTCATAGCAAACTACATGAGCCCGCCGAGGCGGTATGGGCAACCTTACGGCGTTACATTTAAGCGGGGAGCTAACCCCAAACACGCACACTTTGTAGTGCACCTGGGATAGAAAAGCCCTCACTTGGGCCTCGATCATAGGTGTTTGCTCTCTTGGGAGTTGGCTCACGGTAATGTTTTCCCTCCTCCAGTGTTATGATTTATCTAGGAATTTTTGCCTAGAGCGGTGACCTGACAGTAGCAGGCAGAAAGAAAGAGTAAAAGAGGATCCTCAATGTCTGACATGGATGAGAGTTACCAATGTTCTCACCAGAAGTTGTCGCTTGTGTCGAAGCCAATGGAACTCCCGGTGAATGCCGCCCTTGTTTATTAGGCGCCCTCAAGATACCACAAAGTGGCCAATTTTTTTTTTTAAGTATCTTCAGACCACTCATCTTGGGGTGGTAATACTTAAGCGGCCAAGTTACAAAATCATACTCTCATAATGGCAGAAAATAGTGGTTGGGGTTAGCGTTTGCTCTCTTCATTCCTAGGTCAATCTCATGCTTTTTACTATACAAGTACTAGTACACCCTAATTAGTTGCGAGGTAGGATCGAGGACTCAGGCCACCAAGCCTCGTCCTTAACTTGTGTTAACACCACCTAGCTCTCCCCCAATACCGGGTTGTGCGCAGTCTACAGCAGAGCCGCCTTACCAGATGATCCAGACAAGCAAACTGGTTTTCCTTTGCAGCGCAGTGCATAATAAGCGAGATCGGTGGGGGGTTCCTCGATATCGCATGGGGGTTGGAAATAGTTATTACAATTTGCAGCCGGTCATGCTCTTGTAGCCCCATAACAGGCATCCCCTGACAACGTGGAGATCTCGCAAGAAAGCTTTTGTATTTTCCACCAAGCCGGATGTGTTTGGTAACTCTGCTTTTCCTTCTTCTGGCGTTTCCCTCCTCCTGCCCATTCTTCTCAGCCTTCTAGATATCGTACCGGCACTTCGCTGCTGCAGGATGGGAGGGGAATAGCGAGGAAGGTGTGCGGTCGATCTGATTAGATATTTTACTAGCGCTGCCCATAGATAAAACAGTCACGTGGGTCTGATAGGAAAAGTTTAGTGGCCGAGGGAGTTGGAAACGACCCGCCCCCTTTGGAGCTACTCTAAGACTTCCGGCCAAACAACACCTAGCTCCTAGCGATGCGGAGATCTCACAGGAAGCCCTCTTTTGTCTTATGGGAAGAGTCAGATATCTCCCACCCCTTTCAGCTCTGCAGGGAGCCATATCATACCTCGTTATTACTGAGCTTAGGGCTTGGGATAAAGGGAAGGAAAGTCTAGCTAGATGGGTTCAGTTATGATATCATAATATATATCAGATATGCTGCAGCCATACAGTATGATGTAAGCACAAACCACCACTCATGTTTCTATGATAATATTATGTAGTAACATAGAATCTAAGGGGTCGAAGGGAACAAGGTAATCCCGGACCCAAGATGAATAAAATTACCACGGGCCTGGATATCGCCTCACAGCCCTCCACCACAAAAAAAAATAACAAAAAATTAAACTACTCGAGTACGATGCCATGATAGACGGGTATCACTTCCCCCACCTGGCGGACGGCGAGGCTTGCAGTGAAAGGCAAGTCGGCACAAGGGACAACATGGGACAGCGGGAGTCATGGGGGACGGCCGGAACCGCGTGAACGGCGGAAGGCCATCCGTGGCTGCAATCCGTGCGTCAGGGATAGTTGCTTCTCAGGATTCTTCCAAGTTAGCTGATACAGGTAGCCTAGTTCTCATTCGATGGGTGCCGAGATGAGGTCTTCACTAGCATGCCTGACCTGGACTTTAGTCTTCTCGGAATCGAATACGGTAGATCATTGGCAGTGACTACTCCCTGTAGTATACTAGCTGTAAACGGGCTTGCCAGTGACTTACCGGTACCTGGTACCGTATGTGTTCTGTTTCCTCCCTCCTCCCCATGTTTCTATGACACAATGTATGCAGGGGACAACTAGTGACCGCCGGTGACGGTCACGATAAATACAGTATGGGGAACTGCCTGAGAGTGATATAATTTTTGTTAGGACATATCTCGGGTACATTAGAGACTTTGCGATTTCGCATCCAGAGTCAAATTCTGGCGATCTCGTTGGCCCAGAACCCTGTTTGACCCACATCCAGAGTCTTTTGGCAAAGTCCCTATTACTCGAGTACAGTACCCCAAGCAACTTTTTGGGATGGGAATGGGTCCTATTTTAGGACTGATCACCCCGGCCTCGGAATCCAGTCGCACGTTAGGAATGTCGGTGACTATCGCATGACCAGGTAACCCATTTACCAGTACAAGTACACTAACCATAATTCAGAACGGATCACCGCTATCTGTACACGGACCGAATTGGCGTGAACGCTGTGAGTCTGTGACATACACGGTAGCACGCGGAAATGATGGGAGTTCACATTCCGCCGATAGCACGAGGCAGAATTGAGTCCTCCTTGATAAGACGCACGGGAGTGTCTCGTATGTGAGTTCGTCACCAATGCGGCTCTAACCAATGCTAGGCATTACCGCACAGAAAAACCTCAACATCAACTGGAGCGACTACCAATCGAATCCTTTGGCCACACCCCCTACAGTAAAGGTGCGGAAAACGCGACGGGGAAGAGCAGCGGTCTGGAGGCATCACCGGGATAATCCGGCGTCAATGGCCACAGAACCAGCAATCGCCCATTGGAGTCCCCCCACGCAATGTGAGCCAGATACAAACAACACCTTTTCCCTTTGACCTTGGCCGGGCTAGCCCCTAAGTCCTTGGGGGTAGTTTCCGCCAGGGGGTTTCCGTAACTTCTGTATTGGTCCGTGTTTACCACCCACCCCCTTTGTTCAATTCGAATTATCTACATCAGAACCACCTATTTCTATAGGACTTTCAGCAGTAGACCCTTCAGAATTGGTCTCCGAAGCTGAATTCTCTGCCTTAGCCCCCCCAGCCAGCTTTGACTCGGTGCATTCATAGCACCTCTACACAAGCGTTGTGCAAGTCTTTTTTCACTGTGTATGTGAACCACAGTGCTGAGGATCACAGAATTGAAGAGAGTAAAGAAAACGCATCAGAATTGAATACATGGTGCCCAAATATATCGAGGGGGTTGGGTGGCATACATTGGTTGTATGGAGAATACGGAAACCCCCCCTGGCGGAAACCCCCCCCTCCAACTTAGGTTATGGTTGGTACGACTGGCCCGTTGATATGGCCGGCAGAACCAGTCTTTTTACCTTTCTACCCTAATCCTCTACCGATTAAGACCTATTCACACTACATTCAAGACGCAATCCAACAGCCCGAGCATGCACCTGAACTCACACCAACAGAAGGAGCCTCGGGAACGGAGGTCTCTAGAAATAGAGATCTTGTGAAGGGAGTAGTCCACGTCCAGAAAAGTCGAGGGGGAGGAAGAGGCTGGTGTCGATGTTGATGATCATGATCGTGTTGTTGTCTCCGGGAGATGTTTCGTGGACGCGTCAACTACAACAAATGAACACGAGTTCTCGCGACCCACATCGCAAGATATCGCTTGACCACCTCATACAGCTCCTAGAAAACAGGGTGGACCAGCTACTTGTTAAACCGATTTATGCTTCCACTTTACAACAAATTCTACCACCATCACTACAGCACCGCCTTTCCAAAATCAACCCGCTTCAACATAACCACACCAATACCCCATACCCAGCAAACTCCTCCGCAGTTATAGACTTACGGTTGAGATCCGGGCAGCTTCGATCCATTCGTCTTAGGGGACCGGATCAATACCGTCGATACTGCCGAACCGTTCGGGAATTGCCGCAATCCGGCGATCAAGAAAACGCAGCCTTGTCCTCTCTACATCCCGAGATCCAGGGGCGCATAGGGAATTCAGCAGCCCGGCCTCCTGGTATACCCTATGGAGGTCTAAGAGTCAGTACCGAGGGTAGGTTTGTCAGGAGGATTTTATCTCCCGAGTCTGTGTTATTCAACCACCACACTTTCAAAAGACCTAGAGTCTAATCCTACTGTCCTACTCTCAGCGGCTAGACTGTTGCCCTTCCACTATTTTCATCGGGGGATTAGTCCATTGCCGTGGACGTATCTGACGGAGAGCGGGAGGATCAATGCACGGAGGAAATTTAAAGAGACATTGCTCTTGCAGGCCTCTGCGTGCTCGGTAGGGCCCGTAGGGGATAGAATATATGGCAAGAGAGTGAGCCCTTGCTACCATGTATGGCATTAGCTAGCTTCATGACCAACAGCAGGCACCCCAAGTTTAATGGTGTATAAGAATAACAATAATAATAATAATGAGTGCTAGGCCATACGCTCCGTTCATACATTTGACACGATAGCCCGCATGCGCAGGAACGGTTGGGGGGGGGGGGGGGGCTTACGATCGGCTACCGCCAGCACTTGGCACAACAATTTTTATGATAGATAGAGACCGGGGAGAATATCATACGAACCAAGCATCTATCCACGATACACCACAGCACACAAATTTCCCTAAATCCTTATAATGCACTATCACCTAACCCCCGCTACCCCCACTCAATATATGACGATACCCCGCCCCTTCTCTCGAGCCAATTTACTCAGGCAACCTCGGTCCACAATAATCAACCAATCACAGAATACCACCCGTGCCTCTTACTGTACAAAACCCGTGGGAGGGGGGGAATACTAGAGGGATACGATACGATGTCCCGGGGAATATCATTGAAAACCGGAATCTAGTGGCATTCCCGCCCTGGCTGGCTGCCACTATCCACTCGGGTAAGACAACGACTAGACTGGGCTGGAAACTGATTAAAGGTCTTTCTTTTGAGGAGAAGCTTGGCTGGGGGGCGGGTGAATTTATTATGTGATGGTTGGTCTAATACTCCCTATCAGGTTGCTGTGCGATTGAATGACATCTCGGGAAGGCGTGGTAATAGCAAATGGAGGACGTGAGCAGGGACCGGAGATGGGTTGATTTTATACAGATTTCATTGGGATAGCCAAAGTTCCCTCTGAATCTTGATTGAGCGTGACTTGAATGCGGCCGGGGTTGAGCTTTTGGCTTCTTAAGGCAACATCGTGGTGCGAACAGGTGTTCCCTAGATCGCCACCCACTAGCTCCTGCTTTTTAACCCCCGGGGCACCGCAAGTGAGCTGGATGGGGGGGTTTACCATAAGACCACGGAGTCTTGTATCGCGGAATCTCGGAAGGCTGCACATAAACTTGCAAAACTCGTTTTCACGCTAAGAGGGCAAAACAAAGTGTGGTGTAACCCAATATTGGGAACAGGAGTCCGTCCGAGTGAGGGGTAGCCTTTAGGGTAGGGTTTCTGTGGACCTTTACTGCAGGATGTCTTTCCCAGGAGGCAGCCAACCAAGAAGTGTTATGATATGATACTTTGTGAAAAATCCTGACTCCATATTCCGCGGATCTCTTAGCTTGAGAATGTGATTCACCAACTTATGTTGTATAATAATAGTGTATCATAAAAAGAGGACCAAATAGCAAAACCAACTCTACTGGAAAAGGGGAACAAGGAAACAAGCCCAAAATCAAAATCAAAAACCGGGGGAAGACAAAAAAATGAAATCATGACACCGTCCTATGCTATACACTAACCATAAAGAGGGTTAGGGTATAGAATGAAGAGAGAGGAAGAAATAATGAACGAAACAAACGGGAAGGAGGGTTCCTGAAAAATACGGGGTCTAGAGCCCTGCAACTCTTATTCCTCCTCAGGCGCCTCCCTCTCAACAACCGCCCTGTTATTCTCAATGTACTTCTTGCAAAAACAAGCAAGCTGATTTGCGTTGCACATCTCAGACCTTCTCAATATGGACTTGACCGTCTCAGGGCGGATCCAGTGGGCGTCCGACAAGAAATGCTCCATGGAATGCTTGAAGCTTGGCAGGAGCCACTTCTCCGACTTCTCTAGCTGGTCGAGTAAGTTTTCAAGTTGGCTTGTAACATTTTCTTCATATGAGGGCTTGATGAAAGTGTTAGTGTAAATGTAATCGAGCAGGACATTGATCGTCCCAGGGTCATCCTGAAGTGAGACCTCGGCAGCGGATGATTCTGTGAACATGGCTCTCCAGTAATCTGATACGGAAGCTAGAACAATTTTGTGTGCCTTGAAAGTCCGAAGAGGAGCAGTTATCGTGATGTCCGAGAGTAGTTCCTGTTCACGGAGATTGAGGATGCCTAGGGGGATTGGGGACTTCATTGTAGGGGGTTCGGGGACGGAGGGAGGGAGTATTATTGCAGATACGTTGGCATGGAGCAAGAGCCGGCGGAAGCGGTCTAAGAAGGAGCGGACATGCTTAGCTTTCCCAGGGTCGTAGTTGACATCTAAGCACAGATCCGTGCTACACAACCAAGATTTTCGGAAGGTTTCTAGTGTCATCGTCCCTAGGTCTTCGTTCTCGACGTTGAGCCAGATTGGCGCACTCTGTTGGATAGTGTATGTGGGTATCTTTTTCTCAAGGTATCTATAGGCCTTCTTAATTTCGGAGATACGTGTTGGAAGCTCTTGCTCGGTTATTTCTTCACGGTGTGCTGCAAGGAATTCGAGATGTCCTATCATTGTCTTTGGTGTAATCGTCGGTTTCACGGATGTTATCCTCCTAAAAGCCAGTGAACCCATTTCTCTCCAACGCACTAGCTTTTGCCCCCATGAGATCCTCTCGTGTTTTGGGTCCACCGCTTCTGAAGTTGCTGTGCGCTTATTCCGCTGCCAGAATTTCACCCGGTGTTGACCCCTTAATTTTGACTGGTCCGGCAATGCAGTAGCCTCTTGAACAGGTACGAAGCGCATTTTGCGGAGGCCCCTCCATATAGACCAGGGGGAGCGACCAAACACAACACGCGAATCGGATTTGATTTGATCGTCCGGATTTTTATGGTTATTTCGCCGCCAAATCGATCCAGTGCACTCCATGTATATCGCCCGCGAGACATTTTTGATCAAGAAGTCACTCCAAACATCCAACCCGGCTAATTCTGGGTGCAGGAATCTTGAACTCCGTTGGTCTCGGAACGCTGCTTCGAGCAAAGGTACCGAAGAGTCGTAGAGTGTACTTGGCAAACAGAAGCGGTAATCTCCATTCACAGCCAGGTTGTAGGATTGAAATATGTTTGGGTTCACCTTATGCACTATCTCGATAAATCTTCGGTACTCCCCAATATTTTTGGCTGGTAGGTATCCGCGAGTTAGGCCAACCTCGTTTTTTAGGAAATCTAGGTAGGATAGCCGCGAAACACCTAATTTCTTTAGTTCATCCCTATATCTGGAGGCTAGTTCTGGTTTCAAAAAGGTGGTTTGGTCTATAATTGTTGTCAGAGCTAGACTTGTATGGGGAGCTAACTTTAGATCTACTGCGGGTTGGAAAGGCCCCGATAGAACAGGCCATATCGGAAGCCTCTTCAGTGTGTCCACCAATGAGTGGTTTCCACCCAGGAGATCTGAAATATAAGGGAGGATAAGATTGCTCAGAGCCTAAAACATGTTAGAGACAATCGAGGTTGGACGATGGATCATAAAATAGCTACCTCAATGCCTTCTGGGGGCACACCCGAGAAGACCTGACTTAATGAATGGATCGTAGGTATCGTAAAAGGAAGGGAGCCGATAGCCTTGATAAGGCGACGGGCACCTTGTAACGAGTATACCGGCTCGGCGAACACTTGTGTTGTGGGAAATGTGGCTTTACTTACTAATATTAAGCCATTTAGCGACCGAAGAAGTGTTGATATTCCCCCTCCCAGGGAGGGAGTAAAAGGATCGACGATCGCTGGAAGTTCTCCAGAAACAAAACTCAAAGGAGTAAGAAACCGCAGGCTATCTGGTTCACCCACGACTAATCCGGAATATACCGGTAATGATTCGATGGATTTGAGATACCGATCCTTGTTGGCGGGATCTTTGATGACACATTGTTCAAAATATTCCCATACGTTAGCAAGCCAGGTCCTTCGGTATTGAGGATCTTTTGACTCCACCAGCCTACATAACTGGGCTATATGATCGAAACTTAGTAGAGAGATGTTTATCTCCTTCTTTGACAATCCTTCAATCACAGGTCTCTCAAGATCTTGGGAAACTAGCCTCCCACCCTCGACTTCTAGGATGCTACGCTCTAAGGAAGTTATCGAGGTCAGGTACTGAATCTGGGAAGTTGACCGTGGTGAGAAGGTTCCCCAGGACCCGTCGTGGAGCGGTAGAAGTGAGCATCCGGTCAAGCAATCGTCCGATGTATCCTGTAACAGGAAGGATAGTAACTTGTTGATGTTGCTCGCCCGGCTCCCTGGGTCTTTCTCCCAATGGTCTTGGAGCAGTTTGCATTGCGCTGGGTTGCGAAGTAAATCCCGAACATACGCCGGAGTTACCATTAATATGGGTACTTTCTCCGAGGTAGCTTCTATTAACCCCTTCGCGACAGTAAGGGAAGGTATTACCATATTCATAATACCTAGTTGCATGAGGAGTGGTACTATAAATTGGTTCTGTTCTGCACTTAGAAAGTTGAAAATAGCTTTCTTGATGCTGAGATTTTCGGTTGTCTGTAATTTGATTCTCCGTGGTGTAAAAAGGGAAGGGGGTACTCGAGGGTGTAAATCAAAAGAGCTCTCGCCCGCCTTTTTCCAAAATTTGGTTGAAATAGTCAAAGATATGTGGTCGGGATTTTTGAGCTCCGAGGGTGGGGCCGGCCAAAAACGGTAGCCACTTGTCCCATGAAGCTTCATGAGGTGTCGTAGGAACAGGAGATAAAGAGGTACAATACCCTCTCTAAAAATCCAATTGTTCCACCCCAAGCCCTCATGAGGACCATTCTTCTCTTCAGATATGGGTGTTTGTCTGTCACTCTGCAAGGCCATATTCTGGGACATTATTCGAAGTGAGAATTAGCACTCGATTTTCTTTCCCCGGGAGTGTGAGAGTCCCTTGACTTACCGCATTAATGCTAACTGGGAGGGATAGGGGATATTTCATTTGCAGGGGAAGTCCCATAAAACAACAAGTGGCCTGAGCGCGATTTGGAACTGCAAGTCCATATGTGGCTTCAAGTCTGTTGTACTCCGCCATCTCAACTAACTCCGCTGGGATATGTTGCTCTTCGGTGGATCCCTCAATTGTCCACCATTTGTCATTCTCTGCGGAACCCAAGGGCCCGGGAACCTGTACCAGTCCAAGGCTTTTCACGGTGATTTCCACCTCGTTTATCCTGGTGGATCCAATTGTCCGCAACGGCTTTGACGATGCTGAGACGGTCCAGATTGGTTCCAGTAACCCTTTTTGCCAATAAGATATGGATGAGACATGCTTGAGAAATAACAGTGATATCCTTGCCTTCTCTTTGTAGTTGTCGAGATAAGAGCATGTTTCTATTGGGGTGATGTTTCTTAAGGATAGCACAGATTTGTCCGCAAGTCCACGAAACGGGAATCTGAAAATTGTTCCTTCAAATCTCGGGGAAGCTGCGGAAAAGCCGAATACTCCTTCAAAGGGTTTCAATTGATCCGGACCTTATTTATGTCAGTTTTGGGTCTCGTAAGGTTGTTATCAGATAAATTTAGGCTGGTGGGACCTACAGTGGGCTTGAACATCTCGAATTCTAAGCTTCAACCCACCGCGTGGCTTGCCCGTGAGGGGGCGAGGTGGCAGAAAACAATTCTCGGGACTTTGATTATTAGTGTGCGTGAGTGAACTGGTGAATTTTGTTTACCTACTCGAATATCACGTAGAAATCCCCAGAAACAAAGCTAGGTGCGGATGTCCAATGATACCTAGGGACCAAGTAGTGTGAGCATGAATCTGTTTACAATTAGACCATGATCTTACATCGTTAAAGCCCCTTCTCCGAATTTGCCAATCTTAGAGTAGTCGAGGCCCTTCGACCCAATTCCAACATCAATGATGGACTTAAAGTCCTCGTCGGTAAACACTAGGCAGCTATTAGTATTATGCTTTAATGTCTGGACAAACGCCGCCCCCATTTTGGAACCCACCACCATCATTGTAGCAAAATAGAGCTTTCCCTTGAACGGCCTCGAGCTCCTGAGTTATCAATTTCTCCGTTGGGTATTCAGTGGAGTGGTCAATCATCCAATCGATTCGGGTTGCAGTTTTGCCCTCTTCATCCATGCAATCCTCCGCGTTGGCCAAGTACTCGCTGAACGTGCTTTCCACACTGTACCGTTGTAAGGTATCTCGGATCACGGCCTTGGGGCTCTGTGTTTGGGAGAAGTCTTGCTCGAAGCATGGGTCGTTGAAAGATGCGAGAATCCTATCTTCCACGGTAGGTAATCCAAGTCCCCTTATTGTTGATTCCGGGATTCTCGGGTGTAGTGTTGGCCTATTTTCCAGGGAAATAGGTATGTCACTATAGCCCGTGGTGAGTTCTCGAAATGTCCGCATGAACCCATCTTGATCAGGAGCCTTGAGGTCTAATATTAAATTTTGGCGCTTTTTCCTAGTATGCCGCTTTGCAACTTGTGCCACGATATAAAGTGCTACTTCTAGGGCCTGTGCTGAAAGGGGTCCCTCGGCTGCAATTCTATCTTGTAGCTCTTTCAACTAGAACCTTTGAGTCAGAAAACAGAGCCACCCATTTCGGAAACCAAAATTAGACAAGAAGGAGAAAACGAGTTACCTGTTCAAATGCCGGAGCTTGTTTAACCCCCATATGAGTAAGAAATTGTTTGATGCTTGGTTCTGCTTCTAGGAACCTTTCACAAACATTATCATAATAAGGAGAGAGCTGCGTGGCTCCGGTGAAAAAGATTTCGGTTGGAGAAAAGAGCCCTCCCGAGGAGCCAGGGATCCACTTCCGGATGTTCAGTTTCAGTTCTTTGCCGGTTGAATCCCGCTCCCCAGGCGGGTGAGTCTTACACCAATATTCGGCTAAGCTCGCTAACGAGGGACGATCATCTTTCCTTATTGCCCCTTCTAATTGTTTCTTCATTAATTCAACCGTCAGCTTACCATCCCATCCCAACCAGTTCTCCCATGCCTGGCTGATGCGCAGTTTCATAACTGGCATAGAATAATTACACAACGGTCGGAAACTTGCAGGTCGACATTGGCCAGCGCTGAATAGCCCAAGTTCCCCTTCCAGGCTTATTGCTGGGATCCAGCACAATTCCATACACTCCTTACTGAGTGGCTGAGTGGGGGGTTTGCTTTGGAATAAGGTGGATACTTTGTCATTAATATCACGGGGCGAGCGTCCTGATCTGCTGTAGGAATGAATTCTTTCCAATATAATTTGATCGGTTACACCTTCTGACATCCCTAAACAAACAAGAGCAGAGTGATAAGCTGAATCAAAGCTTTTGGTTGGAGACCGTTCTTCCCCTTCGAAATATAGTGCAGCTACATATTTTCCCGAAACCGTATCCTGGGGCCGTCTAAATTTTTGACTACTTACGGGCACGATCTCCTTTGTAGAAAGCACAGAACAGGCTTCAGCTGATAGAAACTCGAAATGGCTCAACGCAAATTCTATCAATTCTATTCTTCTTTTATCGTTGGGTGTACCGGTTTCCGAGATCCTGGGAACGACGTGGTCTTCAAGCACCTCAGAAATAGAGGGGCACTTGAATAATTGTAGGTGGGATACCAGGCCTTTAAGCTCGTGATATCTTGTGTCGATGAAAACGTGTTGAGGTGTATCAAGTGCGATTGACAGGTCCCCCACCCCGACATACGTTGTTAGAGGATTGGAGTCGTCTCTGGCTATCGTGATCCAAGCACTTCGTGACTCTGTTAGCTCAGCTACCAAAACTAGCAAGGAGAGAAACTAACCGTTCGTTAGGGCTCGAATAGCTCGCTGCCTGGAATATGGGCAACTTCCGAACTGTTGGTTCCATGCAACACCTCTCTGATGCACAACAATCTCTTGTCAGATCAAATAGGTGTCGTATTAATTCCATTTTTTCGTTACGATCCAATTTTTCAGCAAAAACTTTCATGGTAACTTCCAGCCACTTCATTAGGGACGCCCGGTCGTCATAGTCCTTGATGATCCCGAGCCCTTGGAGAATCTGCGTAACGTGTAGGTACCCAGCTCCCGTGTAGAGATGCATTTTCTCAGGCATGAAGCGATTCGCCAGAGCAGATTCAGTTTGCTTTAGAAATGAGCCAATTCCCTTGCTCGCCGACACATTCAGGACAGGATATTCGGAGATACTTCCGATCCTTTGAAACATCTGTCTTCCGAGAGGAATAAGCCATAGATCCTTCAATGCGTTCACCAATGTAGACCCTCCAGCTCCCCTATGCTGAGCCTTGGAGGCCCACTCCCAGAACAACTCAACGAAACTATTGAACCCAGGTTTATCGATTTTAACCACTGGTTTCGATTCTTCCATTCCATCGAATTCATAGGAAGAACAATATTGAGCCGCATCTCCAACAGTCCATGCCTTGATTCTGGTGCATTTTTCGATCTCGGCGATGTGTCTCACGAGTATTGCCCGCGATTTCTTGGGAAGAGCACCTATTTTTACTATCCTTTCTGGTGATTTTGTAAAGAGGTCCTCTTCAATTCTGTCCCTCGCTATGAATATTCGATCATCCTGGGATGTGGCCATTTCCAACCCCCGAAAAGTACCATCAGATAGAGGGATTAGAGGGGCTTCACAGCTCTTAAAATCTTGAACCCCGCAATCCGACAAAACATAATCTAGCAGGACCGTCCGGGACTTGATATCGAGATTCAGGAGTGCATCAGAGTCTTTGATGGTCGTCAAATGGCGCCGTGCGGTAGAAGGCGAAAGGTATTCGAGGCCCATTTGTTTGTGATCTAGAGCACCAATTTCTGTCCCTCTGTCTGCCGGGGGGAACACGACTCGAGCTCCGGCATCTCTCAAGGAGGAATGCAGGTCTTCGGGAATGTCAAGGGTAAATGCCACCTCCTTAGCCGGTTTTACCATTCCACTCAAGGTTGGCAGTAGCTCGAGACCATCCTCGACGACCCTCTTAAAAACTGTCCCTAAAATGCCCATCCACAATTGGCCCCACTCTCCCTGTTTCCCTGCAGGCCAGAAATCCCAACCAGGAGAAAGGTTCTCGTTCCTCATGAACTCTAGATTGCGGACCCAAGCATGTGGCACACACTCGTGCAGCAACCACTCATTCCATTGAGCGCCCAACCGAGTTGCTGAATTGGAGCTCATGGTGGTGTCACCCCCGGAATGGATATTGGACCGATCTGGGGTAATGCTGAATATTCCGTGGATGTGGGCAGGGTGTTTCGTCTGAATTGGGAGAGGAAGAGTAGTGAACAGCCTTCCACCGAAACCGGGTGTTTTCTGGGGGTTGGATTAGTTTTGACCAAATAATATACTTAAAAGTTGGATGAACGAACGTCTAATGGATTGGCAATTGCGACCCAAGGGAATAGCCTGTGGTTTCTTGCCCATTTCTGTAGATTTCCATCTCCTGCCGATTCCCGTAGATAATGACTTATCGCATATCTGACCTTAGTTTCAGAAGGATCTGTGCCGGGTTCAGTGCTCCGAAGGATGCTAATTTCCATCATAAAGTCCGATTCGTAATGCTCTCTTGATTGTTCCACGAAAACCTGGCGGTAACCCTCATTAACGGGGTTCTCTCCAGCGGCGTTTTTCGTCTCGTTCGGGACGGTGGACCGAGCTTTGGCAAAGATGGTGTCGTCAATTCTCAGGGTGATTGAGCGTAGATTGCGCAAGAAGAGTAGGGATTCTTCTAGCTCGTTCGCAAATAACTCGAAGATGTCTTCGATATCTTTTCTCGATGTAGACAAATGATCCTCGACGATTCCGCTTCTTATAGCTTGAGCCTCACTCCTCAATGGTAGACGGATAATGGTCCCGTCGAAGGCGGCATCGTGGCTTCTCAAAATAGCGCCAAATGCGGAAAGCTGGTTCTTCATCTCGGGTTTGTCGTGGTTGTCAACGAAATCGTAAAGTGGGCCTCCGGGGAAGCTGATCTTCGAGGACCATGTCTTGTGAGGGTCAAGCAATAGGAGAGAGGTTCCGGAGAGTATGGATGGGTTGTCGGTCCAGTGATACACCTAAAGGCCCGGGAATCAGTGATTTGATGATGCGGGTGCTGGGAGAAGGCCGTAGCTGGGATGGTAATTACACTGTTAAATCCTCGGCCAAACCTTCGGGTGGAAGTAAGACCCTCGGTTTTTCCACTGTCACCAATCCGTATTAGGGACTCGAAATCCTTTTGAGTGAATGGCTTGTTATTGTATGCGAGAAGGGAGATTCCCTGAAAGTCGGCAAGGTCCTCGTGGAGGAGATTCTCGGTAGGGTATTGCCGCGTATCGAGTACAAATTCGATGGCATCCGCACCAGCATCGTCCGCATTTTGACAAAGCCCACGAAGGACACCACCGCCGGCCGGGTATTCGCTGATGATGTTGCGCAGGAGGGCTGTGAGAGACTGATCTTGACCATTGTTCCGCTTGGGGGCGACGGGCATCTTGGGGAATTGTTGTGGCGGGTCGGGTGACAAGAGGGTTTGTACCAAGGGAACTCTCGTTTGCGGACAGGATGGGGAATAGAGTACTTTGGCACCCCGTGCGAGAAGCTATTTTTCAGTTGAGTCCTTGGATTGTTCGAGGCAACAATCTCTATCCTGGGAATTGCGTAAGTTGGAGGCCTGGAAAGTTCCCGAGTCCGCATATGCTGCCAAGGCCCAGTGCATGAGACCCGCAGGAGAAGTATGTTGCTTTCTGATAGACGTGGGGAGTACTATACCGGTACCAATGGCTGGGGATGAAAGACATATGCAAGAGGGGAATATGTACTCCGTAGTGACGATTAGAAAGCTTGGCGAGGAGCCGTATCGCCCTCTAGCGCTCACATCCAATTCTCATATTTTGGTTTCATGAGTTGTTGCTTGGCATCTCGTTGGCCTGTGTTGCATCTGTGCGCGTATGCGGGCCGCCTCGTTCCCACAAACGTCAGGCAAGTGGCTCCGTAATGGAAATAACAAACGGCCAATAACAAGCAGGACGGGTCACATCTTTCGGCCCTCCAGAGCGGGGTAAGGGTCACGAAAAGCTTTAAAATAGCATCGATCGCAGGGATTATGTCAATACCGGTATCATACCGTCAGTGCTGCTTGACTTCAGTGACGGGTTGGTGACCCCGTCATACCATAATGTGTGGTCATGATAGGGCGTTGGCGAGGTGGGCTATCATAGAAGGGAAGAAGTGATATGATAAGTCTCCGTCTCTTCTCGCCCTCGTTCCAATCAATTCTTGAGAGCGCTACCCGTCTTTCTGTGAGGTGGAGGGCTTTTATGACGGCCGAAAACTCTTCTGTTCGCCAGAACAAGAAGTCCGTCCCCGAGCTTTCCATATTCTCAAACTGCCGCTCCACCACATCATGCTTGAGAAAACTACACTTTTCACAACATCTGAGCTCCACTAATGGCACTGGTCCCTGCGAATACTTGATTGGCGAACAATGGCTATCAATCGCCATAAATCACCATTTCTCTCTTGTCATCACCAAGGCTACCGAAGGAGGGTAATTGCCTCGCCTAGGCTGCTATGCCACCCCGACCGACCCTCAACAGTGTTGGATTGCCAATCGGGCATGCGGGTAGGATATATTCGCCTAGGACATCAGGTTTAGGTTCACGGTTTCGTTGATACCCGTTGCCACGGGGCATCAGGTATGGGGGATTTTCTTTGCTTCTTTCACACCCTAGGCTATTAGGTATACGGCAGTTCGTTTGAGATTTCATGGAGGATCATGGGGTACTTGGAGAGTTCTGGATTGTTTGAGGGTCACAGAGGGTCGTGGTTTGTCGGGATAGGGTGCTTCTTTTGTGTTGGTGGGGTTCCTTTGGTTTCCAGAGTTGTTAGCTGTTTTGGAAATGTGTTGTATCATGATCTGGTATGTCCCGGTCTGCCATTGACTGGGCTACCGTACTTGTACGTACTATCTCTACCGAGCGCCGAGTTCCCCATCCTTCCACGGCCAGCCGCATTCGAGCCTATTGAGATCGCACTTTCGCTGATTTATCCATCAGTGTTCTTCTCTAGGCTTCATCAGATAGGAAGACCGCCGGGAGCCCCGACAAGATTTGGCGGCGCAATGCGATCTGCCCTGGTCTTGGATGGCGATCAATGGGTTCATATTGTACACATCTATTCGCAGAAAACAAGAGGAGTCCGCCGAGCCTGAATATTCAGCCCTACTGCGTTACCGACGCGCCCAAGAGCCAACTCCAAACACCCATATCCTGCAGCACACCCGGACAGGGAAGGCTCGCATTCGGAGCCTTTAGTATCGGCGTCTGCTCCCGTGGGCGCTGGCTCATTGCAGTCTAGTGTTTTTTACCCTTTAGTGTTATTACTCATTCGGGCACTTTTGCATATTGCATTTCCTCTCATCCTTCGCCGGGGCCCTGCACACCTTTCCAGGGTAACGCTTTTCTTCTTTTTTTTTTGGCGGGGGCGGGGACCTGCCCCAGAAAGCAAGGAACGAAAGAGGAATACCGGTACTCGAGTACGAGTAGAGGATCCACACTACTTGATAGGTGGGAGTTTTCAATATCCTCGCCAGAGGTTGTTGCTTGTACCGGGTGGCGCGGAAACCCTGGCGAATGCCGTTCTTGTTAAGCTGATTGTCCTCAAGAGGCCACTAAGGGCCCAGTTTTCGAGCACTCCGACCACCCTCGTTAGGATGATCTAATACCTAAGCAGCGAAATTACTCTCCCGATGACGAGAAATAGTGGTTAAACCTATCATTTAGGGCCCTCAATTCCTCGGTCAATCTCATGCTTTTACTCGAGTACATCTCAACCAGGCACTGTCATAGGTGGGATCGAGGAATCACCCCATCAAGCCTCGTCGCTCACCCATGCTAACGCCGCCTGCCCTCTCCCCAGTGCAAGGCTCCTATGATTGGGTTATGCGCATAGGGTGGCGGCCTTACTGGATGTGATGACCCGGGGAGCGCACGGAGTTTTTTTTTTTGGAGTGTAGCACACGGCAAGAGATCAGTGGGGGGCTCCCGCCACCACAAGGGAGTTGGAAAGAATTTGTGCTAGACCTATTATTATCCCAATAACACCATCTCTAGACAGTGCGGGGATCCTGCGGGAAGCTTTCTTTTGTATTTCCCACCAAGTCTGATATATTCGTTAACTTAGTTTTTGCTCTTTTGGTGTTTCGTTTATCCTACTAGTTCCTCTCGGCCTTCTAGATATACTCAATTGTGGCCGGCCAGGCGGGAGGGGGTAGGGGAGATCTTACAGATACTGTGGTCCGTTTTTCGGTGCGTCCCGCCGTCAACCTGGAGAGAGTTGGAAACAGTTTGATTTTTTTAGAGCCACTCCAAGACTTCCAGCCAAATAACACCTACCTCCTGCCAAGGTAGAGACTTGACCGCGAGCGCTCTTTTTTCTTCTCGATGAAATCAGAGATACCTGTTGATTCTAGTTCCGCGCTCATTTTCGCTCTCATTCTCCATCCTTCCATTCCGCTCAGCTTGCTAGGCATGTCCGGTTACGGAAAGCTAAGGGGTCGGAGAGAGCAAGGTAACCCCAAACCCAGAACAAATAAAACCACTATCACACCGACCCAGATATCACCACGCAACCCCTCACCACATGAGAAAACCAGGAAAATAGAATAAAATGAACAGTGACGCGACGCCAGACGGACACCGCTCCCCCTGCTCGGATCACGGGTTACCGGAGAGGACGACGGACCCTTAAGGAAAGACGGGCTGAGGCAGCGGGGGATTGCGGGGGGTTGCCGGAACTCTGTGGACGGCAGAAGACCATCCGTGACCGCATCTGCGCGTCGAAGATTATTAGCTCTACGGGCCTACCAGAGCCAGGAATCATGTGTTCTGGTTCCTATCTTCCTGGCCCCCCTTTTTTACGACACTATGACTCCTGGTGACGCAAGTAACAGCCGGTGACTATGGGGAAACATGGGAACAGATGTCGACCCCCATATCCTTCCTATAAAGGCCATAGCTTTATACCCTCTTGGAGAGATCTGGTATGTTCTCGGAATAATATACGGAGAGAGTAGAGGTAGCAATTTACAGTTTGATAGGAGAAGCTCCCCTGATCGTATGTTGACACTCCAAGAATATATAAACCGGAATTCGTGGTGTCCCAATCTCATCGCCCGGACCCATTTGCGTTACCTACTATCGGTCTTGCTTGTTTCATTAGCGTTAAATTTCTATCACCCTTACATAAACCGTGTTAGATATTGCTCTCGGTAGCGATGTTACTTGAACTCCAGCAACCTACTGTACCTCCTGGAAAACTCTTTGGGATTTCGGCATCGATCCTGTTTTGGGCATGATTCCTCTGGCCTGGGGTTTCCGTCGCACACCAAGAATATCGGTCAATATCGCTTGGCCGGAGGTATCCTACCATATTTGCCTGTACTGTACACTGACCACGATTTAGAACGGGTCGCGGCTGGCCACACGCAACCCGAATTGGTGCGAACGCTGCGGCATAGCATGCGGAAACGAGGGATGTTTACTTCCTGTCGACTGCACGAGGTAGTTTCGAGTATTCCTCGATCAAGACGTATGGGAATATCTCACATGTCGGTTTTGTCGCTGACGCGGCGACTCCAACAACAAGCGCTGGGCCATTCGATCTGTTTATGCAATTGACGCGGCGGCCCGTATGTGTAGAACATTCGGAAGCGCTATTCCGAGAAATTTATTGGGAAAATGTTTAGGAGTTTTTATCCGTAGGATAATAAATTACAATAAATGCTATCCGGGGTACCGACACTGGATATCTTACCACAATTCCCCTCCCTGGTGTGGTTAACGGCCGTGGGGGTACGAGTACTATACTCCAGGCAGTGCAATGCGTAGTGAGCCCATCGAACGGGCTCTAGCTCTGCCCATTGAAAGTAATCTTAGCAAAGAGGCTGTATGGTAATATATCAGGAAAGCTGATCAGTCTTCCTATCTCAATTTTTATACAATAGTCTGTTCTACCATGCCAGTGCATTATCCTTGATCACTTCTCTTACTACACTTATAGTACCAGCAACAATATAGCTGAACCCTAAAAGGCCAATTCGCGTCATTTCTTATAGGGGACCGCCGGGCTAAAATCCTTTGAACCAAGTCGCCGGGAGAGCCCAGGTAAGAACCTGACATAACTGAATTCAGCGATGCTATCGAGTGCGGTTCGCCTCCAGGGCGGGCCAACTGTCCCGTTGAGAACACTATGGGCCTGATGGCAAGCGTACCAGGAACATGTCCACGCCAAATAATGGAATCGACAGAGGAGGAAATAGACCAGCTACTTATCAACACGATACCAGTAATTGAAGTACCCTTCGGTGGATCACTTTCCCGGACAAACTTCAGTATCGAAGAACCAAAGGTCAATCGAGGATAGAAAGAAAAACTAATCCTAATTAGGACCTGGCTCTAGCCTCCCATCCCAAAGGATGGATGGGAAACCCCTATTTGCGAGAAACGGCAACCTGCCGGGAGATTGCCTAAATCCAGATAATTTACAAAGCACTTGGCCCTTACAATATTCCCATTCCCCAGCTATCACTCGTTTTAAATCTTTCCAATGTTAATTATATATGTAGAATAGTATTATAGGAAGTTAGTCAAGGATGTTTAGCAAGTCCTTTAGCCAAAACATAGACGTTATAATCGCTAAAAATTCAATCCTCTTCCTGAAATTTTTTGGCAATATATGGGGTGTTCAATTGGGTGCCTCAAATTAGAAGGCATCATAAATTTACCAAAAACCCACTAACCGCTTATCACGCTTTCCCCATCCATGAGGAGCAGTCATCAAGATGCAAACACACCTAGCAGGCCCAGCAGTCAATCCAAAAGCGTATGGAAGGAGCAACGGTATCCCAAGTGAGGGCGCTAAGGGAGAGTGTCGCAAATGTAGAACGTATCCAATGTGGGAAAGAGGTCGAGTTTCCTTCCCCCATTGAATTCTATTTAACATCTATATATCGTATCTCCCTTGATTGATTTCACTTTAGGCACTGCACGTCCTCCGGGCTAGCCCGGGCCTGGCGGAACTTTCGTCAGGTTTTGGTCGGGTGGGTCTATGATACTCACCCCCGGCCGCCGGTCAACCCATCAGAGGTCTCATGGTGACCCAACGTGGAACAAAAAAACGGAGAAAGCATTAAATTCGGGAGCATGAAGAAACCCTCGTATCCACACGTAGGGTTTACCAGGAGAAACTACTCACGGCCCTAATGTAAGTACCCCCCAAACACTCGAGCACAATGGCAGGATCTTCGTCTAAGCTTTTCCGTAGCAAACTTGGGTGTGAAGAAGCTAACTTCTACTACCCTGTTTGCTACGACATAGTCACTAGCACAACAGAGCGCACCCACCGGGTGGGAGCATGTCAGTCGCACGGTGAATATCTGCCCAGAGAAGCTTCGTGACAGCCGGCTACCGTGAGTAATCAGGGCAGTATTTTCCAACAGAAAAACATGGTATTGATAAGAAGCAAAGGACACCCGGTAAATTGCCGTGTGCGCCACAAAGTCTATAAAGAGGTTCCTCCGCCCCATCGGGGGTGGAAAAAAAACCCCCCAGAAATACAGCTTGGATTCTTTAAGAAGAGAAAAAAGGGGGCGCATTCGTCATTTGCTTCTTCTGCACTGTAGGATATTCGTAAGTCCGGCGGCGCCACATTCAGCGTCCTAGCGGTGCTTGGGCTTCCAAAGAGGATATGATCACGATAAATTACGGAAAAAGCATGCATTCACCCCACACAGCGCACGAATTCCCTAACCTCTCATAGACCACCCCCATTTAACCATTGCCAGCTAATGTGCGGCTCTCTTCTGCCCTGCCACTCTCGCAGCCAACTAGTGTACCTGCCTAGATCACAGAATATCACTCGCGCTCGTCAACTTCACCAAAACCCACAAACCCCCAGAGAATGCGCGTCCCTCTGTCGATCAACGGGGGAAAAAAAGGGGTTCAGAGCGTTGGATGCGTGCGGCGGAAGGAATGACTTGATGTATGATATCATACCGTATTTCCTGACTACGGCCAGGGGAATATTCGGAAATACATGACTTCCGATCGTTGCTCTTGAATCACCCCAAACCTATACTACGGCACTTGAGGGCGATAGCCACCCGGGCCAGCTGAGGGTGCAAAGTGGGTGGCATGTGGCTCACAGTTCGCCTATGGGTCAGGGGCAGTAAGCATATCTTCGTTGGGCGGGGGGCGAGGGGGGGCTAACCAGGGGATCTGATGGTGTATCTTTGTGGCAAGGGAGACTCCACATAAACTTGCGAAATTCATTTCAACGTTAAGAGGGCAAATCAAAGTGTGGCATAATTCTAGCACTCGAGCATACGAGCTGGTTTAAGCGGGGAATAAATAACCTTTACAGTAGGGGGTTTCATAAACATTTATCAGGGGGGGTCTTTTCTAGGAAAACAATAAACCGAAAAGTGTTGCATTGTGAAAAACCCCAAACCACACCCTATCCCAACTTCCCAACGTGAAAACGAGATTCACTGAGTTATGCGCTACAGTATCATAATATCGTAAAAAGGGGACTGAATAATAATAAAAATAGCTAAATTGAAGAGGGTAAAAAAAACAAAAAAGGACAAAACCGCCAATGAAAAAGTAACGAAACAGGCCCATGCTGCTTCGCTAACCAGAAAGGGGGCGGGGGAGTAGAATGGAGGGAAGATAATAAATAGTGAAAGTAGTAAACGGAAAAAAAAAGGCCTCTTGCAAAAAATACGAAATATCTAGCCTTGCAACTCTTATCCCTTCTTAGGTGCCTCCCTCTCAACAATATCTCTGTTATTCTTGATGTACTCCCTGCAAACCTCGACAAGCTGATGTGCGCTACACATCTTAGAAATTCTCAATATGGACTTGACTGTTTCAGGACGAATCCAGTGAATATCCGACAAGTAATGCTCCATGGAATACTTGAAGCTCGGCAGGAACCACTTCTCCGATTTCTCTAGCTGGTCGAGTAAGCTTTCAAGTTGGCTTGTAACATTTTCTTCATGCGGGGGCTTGACGAAAGTGTTAGTGTAAATGTAATCGAGTAGGGCCTTGATTGTCCTCGGATCATCATCCATCCGGATTTCCGCCGTGGATGATTCTCTGAACCTCGACGTGAGCATGGTTCTCCAGTAATCGGATACGGAGGCTAAAACAATTTTATGTGCTCTGAAAGTCTGGAGGGGTGAAATTATTGTGACGTCGCAGAGCAGTTCCTGTTCACGGAGATTGAGGATGCCTTGGAGGATTGGAGACTCCATTCTAGCGGGTTCGGGGATCGAGGGTGGGGGTACTACTGCGGATACGTTGGCATGGAGTAAGAGCTGGTGGAAGCGGCCTAGGAAGGAGCGGACACGCTTGATCTCCCCGGAGTCGTACTTGATATTTAAGCAAAGATTCCTTGAGCACGACCAGGATTTTCGGAAGGTTTCTAGAGTTATCCTCCCTAGGTCTTCGTTCTCGATATTGAGCCATATTAGCGCGCTCTCTTGGATAGGGCATCTGAGTATCTCTTCCTCAAGGTATTCGTAGGCCTTCTTAATTTCAGAGATGCATGTTGGAAGCTCTTCTCTCGTTATTTCCTCGCGGTGTGATGCAAGGAATTCGAGCTGGCCTATCACTGTCTTTGGTGTAATCATTGGTTTCACCGACGTTATCTTCCTAAAAGCCAGTGAACCCAGCTCTCTCCAAAGCACTGGCTTTTGGCCCCATGAGATCCCCTCATACTTTGGGTCCACAGCCTCTGAAATAGCTATGAGCTTATTCGGCTGCCTGAATTTCTCTCTCTGCATCGTTCTTAATTTTGACTGGACCGGCGACGCGGTGGGCTGTTGAATTGGAGCAAAGCGTATTTCGAGGAGAGTCTTCCATATAGACCAAGAGTGCATCTCTTGGTAGTCCCAGCACAAGTGGCCGAACACAACATGCGAATCAGATTCGACTTGGTCGTCCGGATTTGGTCGGCTATTTCGGCGCTCAATCGACCGAGCGCACTCGATAAATGTTGGCCCCGAAATATTCACGATCAGGAAGTCTCTCCAAAAACGCGACGCGGATAATGTGGGGTGCAGGAATCTTGAGTTCCGTTGGTCCCGGAACGCTGCCTGGAACAAATGTACCGAAGAGTCGTAAAGGGTATTTGGTAAACAAAAGCGGTAATCTCCGTTCACAGCCAGGTTGCAGGTTTGAAATATGCCGGGGTTCACCTTATAAACCATCTCGATAAACCTTTGGTACACGCCAATATTTTCGGCGGGTAGGTACCCGCGAGCCAAGCCAACCTCATTGTTCAGGAAATCCTGGTAGGACAGCTGGGGAACACCTAATTTCTTTAGTACATCCTTATATTTGGAAGCTAGATCGACTCTCAAAAAGGTGGTTTGGTCTATCATTGTTGTCAGAGTCAGGTTTATATGGGGAGCCAGTTTTAGCTTTTCTGCGGACTGGAAAGACCCCGAGAGAACAGGCCATATCGGAAGCTGCTTCAGTGTGCCCACCGCTGAGTGGTCTCCACCCAGGATATCTGAGATATGAGGGAGGATAAGATTGCTCAGAGCCTAATATGTGTTAGAGACAATCGAGGTTGAACGATGGGTCTTGGAGATAACTACCTCATTGCCTTCCCGGGATGCACCCGAAAAGACCTGACTTAATGAATGGATCGCAGGTACCGTAAAGGGTAGGGAGCCGATAGCCTTGATAAGGCGACGGGCACCTTGTAACGAGTATACCGACTCGGCGAACGCTTGTGTCGTGGGAAATGTGGCTTTACTTATTAATATTAAGCCATTTAGTGATCGGAGAAGTGTTGATATTCCCCCTTCCAGGGAGGAAGTGAAGGGATCGACGATCGCTGGAAGGTTTCCAGAAACAAAATTCAAAGGAGTAAGAAACCGCAGACCACCTGGTTCACCCACGACTGACCCAGAATATACCGGTAATGATTCGATGGATTTGAGATATCGATCCTTGTTGGCGGGATCTTTGATGACACACTGTTCAAAATATTCCCACACGTTGACAAGCCAGTCTTTTCTGTATTGAGGATCTTTTGACTCCACCAGCCCACATAGCTGGGCTATATGATCGAAGGTTAGTTGGGAAATATTCATCTCCCTCCCTAACAATCCACAAACCACAGATCCCTCAAGATCTTTAGAAACTAGCCTCCCGTCTGTGACCTCCAGGATGCTACGCTCTAAAGGAGTTCTAGAGGTAAAGTACTGGAACTTGGAAGTTGACTTTCGTGAAAAGGTCCCCCAGGACCCATCGTCGAGCAGTAGAAGTGAGCATCCGGTCAAGCAATCCTCTGATGTATCTTGCAAGAAGAAGGACAGTAGCTTGTTGATGTTGCTTGCCAGGCTCCCTGGGCTTTTATTCCAGTCGTCTTGGAGTAGCTTGCATCGCGTTGGGTTGCGGAGCAAATCCCGAACATACGCCGGAGTCACCAACAACAGCGATGCTCCGTCTATAGTAGCATTCGACAATCCCTTAGCAACAATAGGAGGAGGTGTTACTATATTCGTAATACTAAGTTGCATAAGGAGCGGTACTATAAATTGGCTCTGTTCTTTGCCCAGAAAGTTGAAAATAGCTTTCCTGATGCTGAGGTTTTCATCTGTCTGTAGTTTGCTTCTCTGTGGCGTAGAAATAGGAGGTGGTATTTGAGGGTATAGATCAAAAGAGCTTTCACCCGCCTTTTTCCAAAATTCGGTTGAGATAGTCAAGGATACGTGGTCGGAATTTTTGAGCTCAGAGGGTGGGGCCGGCCAAAAACGGTAGCCACTTGTTCCATGAAGCTTCATGAGGTGTCGTAGGAACAGGAGATAGAGAGGTACTATACCCTCTTTGAAAATCCAATTATTCCATTTGAAGCCCTCGTGGGGTCCATTTTTCTCTTCCGATATGGGTGTTTGTCTGTCGCTCTGCAATGCCATATTCTAGAACATGTTTCAAGTGCGAATTAGCACTTGATCCTCCTAACCCGGGAGTATGAGGGTCCCCCGACTTACCGCATTAATGCTAACTGGGAGGGATAGGGGACATTTCGTTTGCAGGGGAAGTTCCATAAAACAACAGGTGGCCTTGATGCGATCTGGAACCGCAAGTCCGTATGTGGCTCTAAGTCTATTGTATTCAGCCATCTCACGTAACTCCGCTGGGATATGTTGCTCTTCGGTGGACCCCTCGATTGTCCACCATTTGTCATTCACTACAGGACCCAAGCCCCCGAGGAACTGTATTCGTCCAAAGCTTTTCACGGTGATTTCCACCTCGTTTATCCTGGTGGATCTAATTGCCCGCAGCGGCTTTGATGATGCTGAGACTGTCCAGATGGGTTCCTTGAGCCCCTTTTGCCAATAGGATATGGATGAGACATGCTTGAGAAATATGAGTGATATCCTCGCCCTCTCTTTGTAACTATCGAGATAGGAGGTTGTCTCCATTGAGGTGACGTTCCTTGAAGATAACGCGGATTTATCCGTAAGTCCGCGAAATGGGAATCTGAAGATTGTTCCTTCAAATCTAGGAGAAGCTGCGGAAAAGTCGAATACTCCTTCAAAAGGTTTCAATTGATCCGGATCTTATTTATGTCAGTACTAGACGTCGAAAGGCGGTTTTAGATAATTTTAGATTGACAGGACTTACAATGGGCCTGAACATCTCGAATTCTAAACTTTAATCCGCCGCGTGGCTTGCCCGTGAGGGGACGCGGCGGCAGAAAACAATTCTCGGGACTTTAAATATCAGCGTCTGTGAATGAACTGGCGGACCTTGTTACGTACTCGAATATCACGTAGAAATCCCCAGAAACAAAGCTGGGTGCGGATGTCCAATGATACCTAGTGACAACAAAGTAATATGAGCGTAAGTATTTTTACGATCAGACCATAATCTTACATAGTTAAAGCCCCTTTTCCGAATTTGCCAATCTTAGAGTAGTCAAGGCCCTTCGATCCAATACCAACATCAATGATGGACTTAAAGTCCTCGTCGGTAAACACTAGGCAGCTATTAGTATTATGCTTTAATGTCTGGACAAACGCCGCCCCCATTTTGGAACCCACCACCATCATTGTAGCAAAATAGAGCTTTCCCTTGAACGGCCCCGAGATCCTGAGTTATCAATTTCTCTGTTGGGTATTCAGTGGAGTGGTCAATCATCCAATCGATTCGGGTTGCAGTTTTGCCCTCTTCATCCATGCAATCCTCCGCGTTGGCCAAGTACTCGCTGAACGTGCTTTCCACACTGTACCGTTGTAAGGTATCTCGGATCACGGCCTTGGGGCTCTGTGTTTGGGAGAAGTCTTGCTCGAAGCATGGGTCGTTGAAAGATGCGAGAATCCTATCTTCCGCGGTAGGTAATCCAAGTTTCTTTATTGTTGATTCCGAGATTCTCGGGTGCAGTGTTGACCTATTTTCCAGGGAAAGAGGTATGTCACTACCACCCGCGGTGAGCTCCGAAAACGTGCGCATAACCCCATCCTGATCGGGAGCCTTGAAACCTGATATTAAATCCTGGCCCTTCTTACTATTATGTCGCTTCGCGACTTGTTCCACGATATAAAGCGCTACCTCTAGATCCTGCTTTGAAAGGGGTCCCTCGATCGTAATTCTGTCTTGTAGCTCTTTCAACTGGGACCCTTGAGTCAGCAAAGAGCCACTCATTTCGCACACCCAAAACCGGGTGGGGGGGGATATGAATTACCTGTTCAAATGTAGGCGCTTGCTTAACCCCCACACGAGTAAGAAATTGTTTGATTCCTTGCCTTGCGTCTAGGAACCCTTTGCAAACATCATCATGGTAAGGAGGAAGCTGCGTGGCTCCGGTAAAGAAAATTTCGGTTAGAGAAAAGAACTCTCCCGATGAGCCAGGGATCCATTTCCGGCTGTTCAACTTCAGTTCTTCGTCTACTGTTGAAGTGCCCCAGGCAAACTCGTAGATCTTACTCCAATATTCGACTAGGCTCGCTAACGAGGAACGGTCATTTTTCTTTATTGCCCCTTCTAATTGTTTATTCATTAGTTCCACGGTGAGCTTGCCGTCCCATCCCAACCATTTTTCCCATGCCGGTCTGATGACGAAGTCCACAATTGGCACGGAATAACTGCACAAAGATCGAAAACTTGGAGATCGACATTGGAGAGCACTGAACAACCCAAGTTCCCCTTCTAAGCTTATTGCCGGGATCCAACACAATTCCATGCACTCCTTACTGGGTGGCTGGCGGGGTGGTTTGCCGCGGTAGAACAATAAGGATACTTTATTACTAATATCGCGATGCGGGCGCCCAGAGCTGCTGTAGGCATGAATTCTTTCCAATATAATCTCATCGGTTATACCCCCCGGCATTCCCAAACGAACAAGTGCAGGATGATAAGCGTCATCAAAGCTTTTGATTGGAGACCGCTCCTCATCTTCGAAATAGAGTGCAGTCACGTGTTTTCCCGAGACCGTATCCTTGGGGCGCCTAAGCTTCTCGCCGCTTACGGGGGCGATCTCCTTCGAAGAAAGCGCAGAACAAGCTTCATCCGATAGAAACTCGAAACGACTCAACGCAAATTTTATCAATTCCATTCTCCTTTTATCGTTGGGTGTACCAGTTTCCGAGATCCTTGGAACAACATGATCTTCGAGTATCTCAGAAATAGAGGGGAACCTGAATAACTGCAGGTGGGATACGAGTTCTTTGAGCTCTGGATTTCGGATGTCGATGAAAGTGTGTTGAGGTGTATCTAGTGTGATTGGTAGATGTTCCACCCCAACATATGTTGCAAGAGAACTAGGATCATCGCTAGTGATTGATATCCAGGGACTTCTTGACTCTATTAGCACAACTATCAAAACTAACGAGGAGGCAAACTGACCGTTCGTTCGTGCTCGAGCCGTTTGCTTCCTGAAATATGGGCAATTTCCGGACTGTTGGTTCCATGCACGATCGTTCAGAAGCATTACAGTATTTCGTCAGGTCAAGGAGGCGTCGCACCAATTCTATTTTTTCACCATGATCCAATCTTTCAGCAAAAACTTTCATGGTAACCTCAAGCCACTTCATTAGGGACGCCCGGTCGTCATAATCCTTGATAAGCCCGAGCCCTTGGAGGGTTTTTGTAGCGTGTGGGAAGCCATCCCCGGTGTGGAGATACATTATCTCAGGCACGAAGCGATTTGCGAGAGCAGATTCAGTTTGCTTTAGAAATGAGCCAATTCCCCTGTCCGCCGACACATTCAAGGCAGGATATTCGGAGATACTTCCAATTCTCTGAAACATCTGTCTTCCTAGAGGAATAAGCCATAGATCCTTCAATGCGTTCACCAATGCAGACCCTCCGACTCCCCTGTGCTGAGCCTTGGAAGCCCACTCCCAGAACAACTCAACGAAACTATTGAACCCAGGTTTATCGATTTTAACCACTGGTTTCGATTCTTCCATTCCATCGAATTCATAGGAAGAACAATATTGAGCCGCATCTCCAACAGTCCACGCCTTGATTCTAGTGCATTTTTCGATCTCGGCGATGTGTCTCACGAGTATTGCCCGCGATTTCTTGGGAAGAGCACCTATTTTCACTATTCTTTCTGGTGATTTTGTAAAGAGGACCTCTTCGGTTCTGTCTCTCGCTATGAATATCCGATCGCCCTGGGACCTGGCCATTTCCAACCCCCGAAAAGTACCATCTGATAGAGGGATTAGAGGGGCTTCACAGCTCTTAAAATCCTGAAACCTGGAATCAGACAGAATATAATCTAGCAGGACCATCCGGGACTTGATATCGAGATTCAGGAGTGCATCAGAGTCTTTGATGGTCGTCAAATGGCGCCGTGCGGTAGAAGGCGAAAGGTATTCGAGGCCCATTTGTTTGTGATCTAGAGCACCAATTTCTGTCCCTCTGTCTGCCGGGGGGAACACGACTCGAGCTCCGGCATCTCTCAAGGAGGAATGCAGGTCTTCGGGAATATCAAGGGTAAATGCAACCTCCTTGGCCGGTTTTACCATTCCGCTCAAGGTTGGTAATAGCTCGAGACCATCCTCGACGACCCTCTTAAAAACCGTCCCTAAAATGCCCATCCACAATTGGCCCCACTCTCCCTGTTTCCCTGCAGGCCAGAAATCCCAACCAGGAGAAAGGTTCTCGTTCCTCATGAACTCTAGATTGCGGACCCAAGCATGTGGCACACACTCATGTAGCAACCACTCATTCCATTGAGCGCCCAACCGAGTTGCTGAATTGGAGCTCATGGTGGTGTCACCCCCGGAATGGATATTGGACCGATCTGGGGTAATGCTGAATATTCCGTGGATGTGGGCAGGGTGTTTCGTCTGAATTGGGAGAGGAAGAGTAGTGAACAGCCTTCCATCGAAATCGGGTGTTTTCTGGGGGTTAAATTAGTTTTGGCCAAATACTATACGTAAAACTGGATGAACAAACGTCTAAAGGATTGGCAATTGCCACCCAAGGGAATAGCTTGTGGTTCCTTGCCCATTTCTGCAGATTCCCATCCCCTGTCGATTTCCGTAGATAATGACTTATCGCATATCTGACCTTAGTTTCAGAAGGATCTGTGCCGGGTTCGGTGCTCCGAAGGATGCTGATTTCCATCATAAAGTCCGATTCGTAATGCTCTCTTGATTGTTCCACGAGAACCTGGCGGTAACCCTCATTGACGGGGTTCTCTCCTCTGTCATTTTTCGTCTCGCTCGGGACGGTGGACTCAGCTCTGGCAAAGACGGTGTCATCAATTCTCAAGGTGATTGAGCGCAAATTGCGCAAGAAGAGTAGAGATTCCACAAGTTCGTTTGTAAACAATTGGAAGACATCTTCGATATCTTTTTGCGAAGTCGACAAATGATCCTCGACGATTTCGCTTCTTATAGCCTGAGCTTCACTCCTCAATGGTAGGCGGATAATGGTCCCATCGAAAGTCGTATCGTAGGTTTTCAAAATACTATCAAATGCAGAAAGTTGATTCTTCATCTCGGGCTCCTCATGGCTGTCAACGAAATCGTAAAGCGGGCCCCCGGCGAAACCAATTTTCGAAGACCATTTCTTGTGCGGGTCAAGCAATAAGAGTGAGGTTCCGGAGAGTATGGATGGATTGTCAGTCCAGTTGTATACCTAAAGCCCCCGTAATTAGCATGTTAACGTTGTGAGTGTTGGGCGAAAGAAAGCCATCGGTGGGATAGGAATTACACTGTTAAATCCCCGGCCAAACTTTCCGGTGGAGGTAAGATCCTTAGCCTTTCCACTATCACCAATCCGCATTAGGGACTGGAAATCTTTCTGGGAAAAAGGCTTGTTATTGTATGCGAGAAGGGAGATTCCCTGAAATTCCGCAAGGTCCTCGTGGAGAAGACCCTCAGTAGGGTGTTGTCGTGTATCGAGCACAAATTCGATGGAATCTGCACCAGCATCGTCCGCATTTTGACAAAGCTCACGAAGGACACCACCGCCGGCGGGGTATTCGCTGATAATATTGCGCAGCAGAACCGTGAGAGATTGATCCTGGCCATTGTTTCTCTTGGGAGCGATAGGCATCTTGGAGAATTGTTATGGTAGAGTGTATGATAAGAAGTTTTATGTTAAAAGAATTTTTCGTACGCAAACAGGAAAGTGACTACTTGGTTCCTCGCCCGAGAAGGCTACCATACTCCCTTCTTATACTAATAATATAATTTGCGAGCCCCCAAAGACTGATAGACTAGTCCTGGCATGTAGGAACTGGTGCCTGGTTTATGGATACCTTGGAGCAGGGTAGTGTATGGTAACTGGTCGAAAGGTTGTACCCCTTGTTCCATAGGGGACCTCCCGATCAGAGTTGCACTTTGAGAACGCCCACGAGGGACGACGGAAAGCTTTGCGACACTTGAGCCAAGGTGCTCAAACCTCCCGTTCTTGTCCCAACAGCGCCAAAGATTGTTGGTCAGCATCCAGGATCCCACCCAGCACACTAATTTAAGGCCCACCAAGGTGCCAAGCCTCTGTCGTGGGCGGCCCGACCCGCGAAAACCCAGATTTCCCCAGGGCTTATCTACAAATCAGGGGAATGCTAGGCGCTACGAGCGTAACACCATTACCCTATTTAAAACAAGAATGATACTACGGCGTCGACGATAGTTGGAGCGTCATTACTATATACAATACAGCCGCGTATTCAGGCGCCCTCTCTTTGTTTCTGGGAGCGCGGTGTTCTACGTACAGTACAAAGCGCCATACCTCTGGTTGAAAGGCACGGACACCGCTTAACTGAACGCTACTTGTAAAACACTACGGTAAACACGTCAGAACCGCTTGACAATTCAAAGGGGATTCCCTTTCAGATGATGGTGGACACCATTTTCTCCCACAAGCTCGGCAAGCTCGAGAGGAAAGGGTGGAAGTCTCACCGTATTGGGTTAAGTGGTGCCATACGGTACCGGTACCTAATCTCATACCGCATAATACCTATGACCCCGCACTCAAGGCTACAGTACTCGTACCAGTTTGCGCTAGCACAGGACCATGCACCAATCCGGATTCAGGCAACAGCTCTATCTATGGTACGGCACTCGTGCAAACGGCGTCTCCAATGAAACCGCCAACATGCACAATGCAAGGGGTCACTACTGTGTTCCCTTGAAATTTCTCAAAGATGGGATCGTGCTCTATTACACGACAACCACTGCTTGAAGCCTGTGAGACCAGATATTGTTATCTACGCGGCCGATGGATAGCGCGCAGGATAAGAGGAGTCACGGTGGAACCACACCCAAGTGGCGGGGCTGATCCCCGCGCCAGGCGGCTTCGAGTCAATACCTGCATCTATTCTGCTTCAGCCCTCTGGCCAAGAGCCGCCTAAAGCTGAGAGTTGAGGGGGATACGGATACCGGTGCTGCATCCTCCACTCTCCTTTGAATAGAAGTTGCGGGAGGATATGTATGATAACGGCAGCGGTCATGGGAGCATTCCCAGAAAGCCCTCCAAAGAAGCCGATAGGCAAAACATAAAAAATTTACCAAGGGATGATAGCCTCCCGGAGCGACGGGGGCAGTGCAGTGTCATACCATACCAAAGCTACAAAGTTACACTTGTTAGGCGTAAATTAGCATATCGCGGTGTGGTTGAACGAATCTGCCATTCTTTTTACCATGCACTGACGGTATTGTGCCCGCGGTTGTAAGACCCTCCGCTATGCTGCGAGTAGAGGGTTCCACCACGCATTGTACCGGTGCTCGAGTACTCGCATATGACTTCGAGCGATCAAGATCCTGCCCCAATGACCCGTTTTCCCATGCGAAGCCACCTCCATAAGGTAAGTGCTCTAATACAGGAGAATTGTGCGGGCCGTTGAAAACCCCCCCAATGGGACAGGGGTGGCGGGAGGGGAAGCCACCACAAGCCCAACTTTCTCTGGTACTGCACCGTACAGGAAGCAAGGAAGTCTGTGTATGATACCACTCCCTCTCTCTTCCAGTATTGAAATACGAGTAGAGCAACGCAAATAACCGGCATCAGACACCAAGAAACTGAACCATGCTTACTGATCGCCTACAGAAGGATCAAGTTATTGGCTATCAAGGGCGGGTTTCTACCGAACACATTTTCATAATCAAACTACCTTAACTTGGTATGATACGGCAGGTAATCTTCCACTTGGCTTAGCATGGAACAGCGAGAAGCCCTTATCATAGGATGTAAGCCCCGTTAGGTAGCAGCGCCCCAAGCAACTACTCGCGCATCGAAAAAATCATAACAGTTTAATCTCTATTGATTTACCCCTCTCGACCTAAGAACAGAACGCCGGTACCGGTATTTACCCATCGCTGTTAACGCTGATACATGTGAGATGTAGTAGACACCGGGAAAAGGGGGACCCGGGTCCCCAGCCTGCCCTACCATGTAGTACATCACTCGCTTCCACGTCGTTTCTCGGTCCGATAATTTGTTTCTATCCTGCTTTCAGGCTCTCGTCTACCGGTCGCACAACAACCATAACGGAAGATGCCTAAAATACGCCCAACACGTACCCGCAGCCAATCATCACGGAAGATCTACGGGAGTGGACCACTTGCAGGAGGAAACCACTACCGGTGATCCTTCTGAAGAGCCTTTGACTCAGATTTCGGAGATTACAGGGCTGACGGAGATAGTGATTTCCAAGAGTTTTTGCGGTAGCCATTCAAAACGCTTGAGCACTTCTAGGGTGACCCATCTTTCTCTATCTTCCCTCTCCCCGCGTATAGTGATTGCAAGCCGGCGCTCACACCCGACACCTTCCTTTCCCAGAGTACTATATGTTCAATACCCGATCTCGCTATCTCACCATTTACTGGCATTCAGCCCTCCGGAGACTTCCCACGGTGGAAATGAGCAATATGAGGATTGTGATATCCTCCGGAGAGAGGGTTTTCGGTTAATAACATAACATAGCCCCACTTTGTTCGAGATGTTTGGTACGGACTGCTATTAACTGGAGTGACTGGACCGCTGTGCTTCTTCCCGTACTAACAACTTTACCAGCGCCTATAACCTCACGCAACTACCTTTTTACTTTGCCCTAAAGTGAGAATCGACTGCATAATTGTCGTAAAATTTAGGGAGAAAAAAGAGGAGAGAGAGAGAGAGAGAGAGGAGGGTC